ACAGTTATGGAATGCCTTACTTAAAAAATCAAAACACAAAATTAACTGAAAGGTTTTTTTGAATATAGAAGTGCAAGACTAGCTCAAACAAAACAAATCTATAGAGACTGAGAGTTTAATGAACATAAATTTATATTCACATGCTCAAGTATAGTTGATCAGACACATCAGAATACCTACATGGATTGATGCTGCTTATAAATCAACATGCATGTTTAAAATTTCTTCAGTTGTGTATGTTGTACATGCTGTTTTATTTGTCTTATCTTCTCTTAAAAGCCTAACCTGGAGCAGGGATTGCAAATTGCCTTCTGCAAGAATCCCTATAGACAAGATATGTATACATTAGTGAATTCAGCAGCATTAAGATGCACAAACTGCTAACAGGAGTTCAAATGCACACACAGCTTGTACAGTCTCCATGGGAAAGCAATGACAATTGAAAAGAATGCTCTGGAGCAGCCACACATGAGCCTAAGTTCACCATGTCCAATGCCAAGTGTAGGCTAGAGGTGTATTAAGCTCCCCAGCATTAAGATGTGGAGCAGTGGAACTGCACTTTCTAGAGTGATGGAGCACCAGCCAATACCCTTGGGATGAGGTCAAGTGGTGTTTGTGATCCAGAACTAATCATCTAACCATTAATACCTGATCTCACTAGTGCTGCCGCTGCTGAATGCAATGTTCCAACACTTAATATAAAGGCTTCCCTGAAGAGTAGAGACAGTTACTGCAGCAGAGGGGGACAGACTTACTCTTGATTTTGGAAAAAATATTGGATGAGCAGGTGTCCACAGACTTTTGGCCATATATTGTACCAGGTGTCTTAACCTGGGCGTCACAGTCTGGTCCCAGAGGGGGTGCAAGAGTGGTGCAACAAGACATTGAGAAAATAATGTAGACTTTTTACCCAAAAAAGGGTCACACTGTGCAAAAGGTTGAGATGCCCTTTTATCTGCATTACACACATTTTATGTAATAATGTTTACCTGTACTGTCCCAGGCAAGTAAACAAACACACACAAAATAAACAAAACCATATCTGGACATCAAAGTCCATAGTCAGTAAATGAAGAATTTATAATCAATAAATCAGTGTATTAAGAAATAATTTAACCAGAAATTTCAAACACTAATCTTTACAAAAATAACTAATCTGATTACACTTTTTTTCAAAAGTATACTACACTGATTGCATGTAATTAATTTTAGTAATCAGGTTACATAATCCAGATTGTATAGAATTCATTAGTAACCAACACTATTCATAAATCATGCAATAATTGTTGTGTCAGTGTTGTGGTCAATCTTTGCATCGGCAGCCACAACTCAATAGACAGCATTATCAAGACTGCTTCACATTCAGAGAGTCATTAACATGTTCATATTTATGTCATCATTGCTGCTCTTTCTTGGCTGGTGAGATTTAACACTGTTTACATTGTCTCTGCATGACTTGCTCAGTGTTTATATCTACAGATGCTTCGGCTAAACAAACATCTGCCTGTTGTACTTTTTGAAACTGATCTGTGTAAGAGTAGAAACGTCTGATAGTCACTGTTATCTGATACAGGGTGTTTTTTTATGTTTAGACTTCAGAGTGGTAAAACCTCATTTTGGCTGCAGTGACTGTTGATCCCTATCTGTTTAATTAGATTATTTGGCTGACAGACAGGCAGGCTTTATCAGAAAGCCAGGGTCCCGTGTGAATGCAGAATAATTAATTGGTTTAATTATATTTAGTTCCACTACTGATTCACAGGGAAGTCGTCGGAGATAACCCATAACCCAGAATCACAGCTCGAACCAGGAGATTTAAGAGAGATAGACTGAGGTCCGTGTGTGCTGGACCATATGTATGGCCACTGCTCTTGGGAATAAAATGTGTAACAGCTACAAATTTGAGAGTTCTGTAACTTGTGTTTAAAACACTGCAAAATATTAATATGTCCCTTAACTTTTAAATCATGGGAGCAAATGTTTTGTTGCATTGGCGACACTGGCACAAAAATGAGAATCACAGGGCCCATGTGGGTTAAATGTTTGTCAGTTGTGTTTTTTAAGGAGCTTTTAGTTCTGATAATTTGTTCAGGCATTTTAGCATTGTTCTACTTTTCCCTTCATTTTTACTTTGTTTAGCCATTTCATCAGTGATTTATCAGCCCATCACCAGCTATGCTCAGGATAAAGCCAAAGACATAAAAAGATTTGACTAGATCTGCTTGTATTGCACCATGTTGTAGAGGTTCAAAATAGCTTCTGTATCTTCTCTCAGATTCCTTTGAACAAATGCAACAGAGTTGGTTTTACTGGATTTAAAATACTGTGCACAAATCATGCCATGGCTAAAAGTGGCATATGGCTCTTAGACCTCATCTAAACACTGTTTGTCAACTTTAAGTTGTCAGCATGCTGCTACATCACCCATAAAAGCTCCTGTCATGCTCTGTCTGGTCTAGCTTTTTTGAGTAGTAGGGTACTCAGTGTTCTCAGAGTTTAGTATGGCAGTCAATAAGGCTCCGATTTACTAAAATTAACTTTTTTTTGTTTTAACCTTTTGGTCAGCTGTAACCACTTTTCTTGCATCTCAGTGAGGAAACTTTTCCACAAAAGTAGAGATTCTTATAAAATGTCTCTCAATGTTCGACTTTTTATGATCGACTGAAGTTGCTTCTAATTCACCAGCTTCTTGTTTGAAGTGACTTACCTGCGTCGCTATGTGACCAGCAGTCTGCGCAGCAATCTTCAGCATTAAAGGGTGAATTAGCAGTTCCACATTAACAGCAGCATTTAAGACCATTTATTGTAAAAACTTTTAGAACTGTGTGTTATAACGATCAGCAGAGCTTTATTTCACAGTACAGGAGCATGTTATTTTACTAGTTATTTATTTTTATTATGTTATTTTACTTTTATTTAGTGCTGCTGTAGAGCCACGACAGCACAGTAAAAGAGACCTGCATGTTGCAGACTATAATAATAGTAATAGACTATTACTAATAGTACTGCACAGAGCCAGCGTCACTGATGAGAATTTTGAGGCTAAAGTGTTGCCAAAGTTTAATTTAAGACTCCGAATGTCATGTCTGTGCATATCTAGCTGAAATGTTTAAATTGGAGCAGTTTTATTTCAACAGTTGACAGTGCTTTGCACAAAATTGTTTGGTTTGTATACAGTTATTTTTGTTAGGAAAAACCTAGAATGATTGACTTTTTTGAATTGAATTTTTGTTGGATATCACGCCTTTGGTTGTGCAAGTTTAATTGTTGGTTACACTTAAACTCACTTTTTGGTGATCTTTTTGTATATTTGCAGCTTTTCAATTGTTTCTTTCTGGCACATCATTAAATGCAGCGTATTGTTCACACTTTCAGTTGGGCTTGTTTGGTGCGTCCGGTGGAAATACACAAACATTCTGACAATCACGCTTTGAAAGTAGCTAGAAAGTAGTGCACTACTTTTCAAAAGGTAGCTAAAAAGTACTTGTAGCTAGCTACAAATGTTGGGAAAGTAGCTACAAAGTAGCTAACTACTAACTGACTAAATTTTGGAAAAAAATACCCCTGCTGGTTTCTTTGAAAGCGTGTCTGCTGAAAAGAACTGAAGATGTAATAAAGGCAAAGACTGGACACATTAAATACTGAAGAGTTTATTACAGTTAGTTTTTGAGGTTTCTGTTTAATTTCCTGTAAATGTTTTTTTTTTCCCCAGATGCTGAAAAATTAATAACTTTAAAAGGCATTTTGACTGGAAATCCTCCCACATACCTACACCATAAATCTTTCACAGACTTGCATTTCAGCAGCCACCGTTAATTCCAAAAACCTAAACTCACCACGGCTATGAAGAGCAGTTGGCACATGCAAAAGCCTATTTAATATTTTCTCCACCTTTCTGCATATAGTCATCTATGCAGTTATTCTTTGCATATCACCCAGTAGACCCAGTAGACACCCACTAACTGCATCTGCAATCTGTGTTACACATGCAGATCAGTACTCTTTATCTGGGATCTGGTAAACCAGGGCCTGAATGTGTAATGAGAGAGTAATGCATTAATAGGTATAGCTTGAGTATACTCTGAGAATAATTATAGATTGGTTGCTATGGGCAGCAGCTCTCAGATTTGTCGCCATCCAGAAGACTGGCTATTGCCTGACTGTACTGTAATTAATCATTTTGCCAAAGCCGATGATTTCCTAGCAACACTCTGCGTGCACATGGTTATGTATGTGTTTGTCCAGTTCAGCCTTTGCTCTTGCGTTCCAGGGCACATAAATCATTAAGGAGCATTACTCAGTCATTTTCCGATGGATGGAGAGGTCTGACCTCGATCTGCGGAAGTTTTCTCCCTATTTCAGTTCCATGAGCTCGCAGACCTGACTTTCCATCACACGCCAGCTCACACATTCATGATTTGAACTCATGCATACATTATGTGGCTCTTTCATATGCGGACCACTGCGCTCTTCTGCACACCAATGAACCTGAGCGGCCCACTCACACTTGCTTTAATGAAGACCACTATACCCCCCCACTCTCTTTTTATACTGCTCTCTGATAGAGGAACATGGTAAAACCAGCCTCTGCAAAGGAGCTCCCCTTGGTTTTGAACAACCTTTTTTTAAATCCACAGGACAAAGAGAAGCATAGATGGAGTCAGAGTTATGGTAATGCAAGAAAAGCCAAGGAGCATAAAAAACACGAGAAAGATCTAAGCCTCATCTCTTCATCTCTTTCTTTTCCTCCTACTTTTTTTTTCTTTTTTCCTTCATCAAATTCTGCATCTTCTGTGCTGGCTGATCTGATTGAAGTGATCAAGAGGGGGCTTACTGTACTTACCACCGCTCTCATCCCCCCAGCTCCAAATGACATTTTTACATGCAGCCTGTGGCTCGGTCTGATTCTGTGGGAGGATCGTGTGAATCTCTTTTGTCTGTGGTTCGTGTATGATGAATATCGCATGACCTCCTCTCTTATCTCTCTCTAACTCTGGCAGGTGTCCTCCAGGTGTCCATCTCTCTGAAGAAGGTAGAACTGAGTGTGGGAGAGTCCAAGTTCTTCACCTGTACAGGTCAGTCCCTCACTGTAGAACTGTCTGTTAACCCAAGATGGCTAAAATAGCTGTACAGTACCAGTCAAACGGTATGGATGCACCTACTCCTAGAAGAGTTCCTCATTCTCACCCTTTAACACTTTAGTATATATATATATATATATATATATATATATACACACACATACATACATACATACATAAGTTTTATTTTTCAAATTAGCCCCTCTTTGCCCTGAAGTTTACGCACACTTGCTGTTCTCTCAAGCACCTTCACGAGGAGCATGCTTTTCCAACTGTTCCCACATATGTTGAGCACTTTGTTGGCTTAATCAGGGGGGAAGCATTAAAAATATATTTAGAAACGCATTCAAACATAAGAATGAATATCACAATTTATACACAATGGGCCAGATTAATAAAAAAACAGGTAGTAATCGTGCTTCACCATGCAAAATGAGCGGCGATAATTAAGTCCTATTCATAAAGTAACCATTGCGGTGATTAGCAAACCAGCCTCTCCTCATTGTTGTGGTATTTTTATATGCGTGTTAGGCAAAAGACAAATCAGAATCAACACGCTAAAGAGATGATACACATTAAAGGCCTCTTTGGGTGCCAAAATAGATGAAAATAGAAGAAAAGTAAATGTCTCAAAATCACCGCTACAGATTTTAAGAAAGGTACTGTTTAGTAAAAATTAAACAATGGAAATATATCGAATGTAACAAGAACTGTCAACTGTTAAAAGTGAAAAGAAAAAGAAGTGAGAGAAAACATTTCACAGGGAGTCCCAGCACTTGACAAAAACTTTTTAAAAGTTCTTCTTCTAAATCATGATAAAATCAAAATAATCTCTCCTCAGTGTAATGAAAAATATTCTATGCACAGATATGAGGAGTAAAGTTACCGAAACTATTTACAGAATTGCTTTTTTTTTTTATCTTTTTTTAGTATTGTGTATTTTATCATATTTTGTATTGTGTCATTGCTAATTCATGAGGCACAGCACCTCTTAACTGTAATCACTGTAAAGCCTCTCAGTAATTACTGCTCTAAACTTCACTTCACCCATCACTGTGGAAGGGAAAAACAGTCCAGCAGCAGCGTGCCAGACAAAACCCATTAACGGTAAAAGTATATTTATGATGGTAAAAGTATGATGGTAAAAATCTGCAAAGTTACAGCAAAAACTAACAGCCGTTACAATAAACACAAATGTATGTGTTTTTGTGAATTTACTTTGCTTCTGTTACAACAGTAGTACTTAAATACAAAAAGCAGTGTATGTACAGTTTGTTCACGTACATTTAACTTTTCACAGGTGTTGACCATTAAATCTTTACTTTGCAACTTTACAACATGCATTGAATCAGGCGTGTCCAATATTTTGACTGGTACTGTGCAAAGAGTTTGACCTGCAAAAAATACCCATGACTTTATACATATTTTTAAACATACAACAACATATACAGTATCCATAATGAATACTATAGGAATTCAAAATTGTGTGCACACAAGGCATAACTAAGGATAAAAGTCATGTGTGTTGGTGTTTGTGTGGATGGGTAACATTGGTCAGTTTACATCCAATTCATAAATTGTGCATATGTTTTTGGTTACATTACTTTAAATTAGCCACTTTTTCAGTATTGCAGTTTATAACTTGCAGTCAGCTGCATGGCTAAGCTGCTGTAAGTGCTGGGCTCTGTAAGCTCCAGGCTCTCCCCAGCAGGCTGCCTTTAACTGGGAGAGGCATCCTGACCCCTGATGGATGCCCTCCAGGTGACAGCTTATTAGTTCACCTGGCTGGATGCTCATGACACTGCAGCTGCCCACACGCCCTTCAAGCATACAGGTCAACCTCCTGACGCAGAATAAAGTTACACAGGCAGATGTGTTTCAAGGGAGGCAATACAGTACAGGAGAAACATGACTGATATAATCTTCTACCAATATCTGTTTTTGCCTATATTCACATACATACTCTTTGTGAGCTATGTATGACATATATAGTCTTACATAGGCTACCAATATTTGTTTTCTGCCTGTACTAGTAACAAATGTCATACATGCACTACATCAAATGTCCAGAAGGTATCCAGACATCTGCTCATTCAACATTTCTTCAAAAATCAAGGATCTTACATTTTGTATCATCTTGTAGTAAGTGACATGCCCAAATACAGTGCTCTGAGTCTAGGCCATTTTTGTCCATGTGAAAAGTTAGTTATTTCCTAAAATTGGCCTTGTCACAATCTGCTTACCATGAGTTGCATGTTCAAGTCCCATTTGAACCTGTGTACTTTATTTTTTTTCTGCACATGGTAACTTTGCACCAAAGTCAAAGGGGTCCTCCAACTTGCAAAGTAATTAAACAGCTGAAAAAACAATATCGCTGCATACAAGATGCTGTATGTATCATTACATACAAGAAATGCTCCTACTACTGTTCCTGCTACTACTACTACTACTACTACTACTACAGCTACTACAGCTACTACTACTAAACACATTTGACAAAAGCTCTTCTCTTCCTGTTCTAATTAGTGAATTACACTAGGGCTGGGAAACAATTCAAATAATTCATCATGAATAATCGCATTTGTCTCATTTGCTTAAATTTGACGCTAAATAAAGTTTTCTTTCCATTTAAAAAAGCAATGCATTTTGTTAAAGCTGTGTAGGCAGACAAAAGCTTTATCAGAATGTAAATTGTTCAGTAACATTTATCATGTGAATACAGAGTGAACCTGAAAATCATGTGAACGCAGAGTGACCACAAAAATAAGGTGAATATGATTTCCAATTTAACAGTGATATCCAGAGAGTGCAACAGTGGCTGCATGCTCCAGCTCTTTCGAGATTGTAGCCCTCTCACCCTTACACCACTATGTTATATCTTGTTTCAAAGGGAACTAATGTTCTACTTGTTGATTTACCCATATGTCTTATGCGAGCACTGTCCAGTGTCCTGTACTGAATTACTGATAATGCCAGCTTCAGCACCAGCATCATTATGTGATGTAATTTATTGACAAATTCATGTTATTACAGTGGCTGGAAATAGCTGTGATTTTACCAAGAGAGCCATCAATGGAACTTGCCATTTAAAAGCTGGATTTGAAAGAGACAGCTATAGGCAAGAATATAATCATAGCAACATAGAGCAGCTGGGTTCAGGGTGGAACTATGGATGATTTGAAGGATCAAACTAGGAAAAAATGTGTTAATGGTGTTTAAGTGCCAGTAATCATTTATCATGTTAACTTTGACACTACTAAATTCCATTACTCTAAGGTGTACCCATTACTAACACAGGTATTCAAATGAGTAAGTTTGTATAATCTCCATAGAAAAGAATTACCAATATAATGGGACACCTTGGAGCAGTCACACATAGTCTAAGGTCTCCATGTCCAATGCCAAGTGTCAGTTAGAGGGGTATAAAGCTCCAAACTGTGTTCTTTGGAATGATTGAGCACCATCCCAAAACCTTTGGGATGAGTTGAAGTGGCATTTGTGATCCAGCATCTTCATCCAACATCAGTACCGGACCTCACTATTGCTCTTGTGGCTGAATTCAATCAAATCCTCACAGCAATATTCCAACATATTGTAAAGTATGTTACTGCAGGAAATAGGGGGACATTGTTGATCAAATAACATAAAAATGGACACAAAACAAAATGTATAGGCTTTGGATCTGTTGGTTAACCACCAAGTGTGATAAGTCAAAATTCCTTTTACCATAGACAAAACTAGCTTAGACTCAGTTGCTAATGGTCAACTACAAAATGACACATGCTCAGAGGTCTAGAGGGAGTTGTTGCCCCCTTTTCTGTGCTAATAGCCTCTTTTCTGCCAAGAAAGCTTTACAGTAGATGTTGGGACAGGACTCCATTCAGCCACAAGAGCATTGATGAGGTCAGGTACTGATGTTAGCCAATTAGTTCTTGGTCACAAACGGCACTCCAGCTCATCCCAAAGGTATTCAACAGTGCTTCACTGCTCTATTCCTTCTTCTGGAAAGTTACTATTTCAGTCATATGAGATCAGGGAGCTTTGAGTAAACTTCCATTGCATGTAGCCTACAGGTCAGTCTTCAAGCACAGGTCAGCAAGAATAACAGTCCAGAGGAGTATAATCGGTTAATCATGCCTTATTAAAGCATGCTGAGAGGTCTCACAATGGTCAATTGATTTCTCACTGTTTTGGTGCAGGCGCAGCTAAATGCATTAATTAAGAGTGACTGAACAGCCAGAGGAGCTGCCACTCCTGACACTCACCCCCACAGAGCTCAACACGCACACATGTACCATAAAACCACTAGCCTCCTGCTGGCAGTTTCAATATCTCAGTCATTCAGTGCTCTCTTTTCACTGCTTGCCATCACACTCTCATAAACCTCTAGTGTCTATGCGGCACAGTGGAGGTGGTTTATTTTAGCAAGGATTAATCAGCCCTGCACATAAGAAAATAATCAGATCTGTATATTACCTATGATCTGTCCCATCAGTCTTACTGATATGTTTATTCCTGCATTTCTTCAACTCCTGAAAAACATGGTTCCATGCACACCAAAACATGCACAAAAAAGGACTCTCTTAAGACAAAAAAAGCCCACCACCCCAAGCCTCCTGTATTAAGCCAGTATTTCAACATTCTAAGACACACGAATGGAGCTTTAACTCAAGAAGTACATCAAACATGGTAGTCATCGGCTATGAAACCAATGGAGAATTAAAAGAAAAGTGAATACCAGTAGGAAAAACAGCAATATGCCGCCCAAAAAAAATCCCCCCATTAGTTACTGAAATAGTCTTCAACTTCACAGTCAGTGGACATGCTGCAAAACACATGGTACAGTCCACCGTTCAGACATGAACAGAAATCAATATGTTTACACGACTCCCACTACACTTGCCTACCCTTTTAAATCGTTATGATGACCACATCTGTCAAAAACCTAGAAGAATCATAATACATTCCATTTATAGATTAATGTGAGACTTTCATAGAGCTCTGGGGTGGGCTGTGTACTCAATACAACTACACATGAGTCTGTAAACATTGAATGTATTATGATTCTTCCTGTGATCAGCATGGCTACACAGTCATACAGTAACAACACATGAGACAGACGAATACAGAGCTTAAAAGGGAATTCTGCCAAGTTTTCAAAATTCCTGCATAAGTCACTTGAGATGTGAATGTCATTCAGAGTGGCTTCATATGAATTGGCTCATTGCAGAGAAACTTACCAACTCCGATTTCTTTACAATGGTGGTGAGAATAATACAATATCTACAAACACAAATATACCAATTTTATTTCTTATCAAAAACCACCAGTGAACCTGCACACATCTACTGGGATTTTATGTGCTGTGCTAACAGCAGTCTTCTTTGGGCACTACTTTGCCTTAAAACATCCTACCTCTCCTTTGTGAATGGATTTTGAATAGTATGTTTTGGGCCAAAAGCATCTCTCAAAACTATTGTAAAACAATATCTCTGGCATCAGACACCATATTCATAATCAATTTTTTCTTTGAGGGAGCTTTTAGATGCATTCAATTCTACATCTTGTTCCCAACACCACCACTGTGAACCATTTTGACTCAGTTTCTCTAGAAAAGAACATTTCACATCAAACCACTCTGACTTTATTCACAGCTTAACCCTTTCATTTAGCAGACATTATGAAAATCAGTAGAATTCCCCTTTAAAGCAAGGGTGGCATATGTATATGTATATGGCAGAGTGTGTCAATTGCCAATATTGTAGCATCATTAGAGGGTGCAAAATGAGCAACACTGTACATGAAACCAGTATGTCTTACTCAAAATAACATAGCAAGCTTAAAAAATATAATCAAAAATATTGAATCTAGTACCAGTGGTATTGTTGTGTCAGGGATAGTTCACAGAAGTTTTTTTTTGTTTGTTTTTTGTTTTTTTGTTTTTTTTTAAAGTGAGAGTTTTACTTAGGGAGTCTTGTTTAATCTTTCAGCCAATACTTGTATTTGCAGATTTAAAACTCTGAAATGAAGAAAGTTCATGTTTATTTTGTATCATTTAGTCAAATAACTGAGTAAATCAACTTAAAATCATTCAAAAACATTACTGTTTATTTAAAAACACTCTTGAGACTTTCAGTTGATTAGTAACAACATTAGTTGGGCTGGTACGTTTGACATCTTTGGAAAAAAAAAAAAAAGGCAGTTAGCTTCCCAACTTTTTTCAAGTAAGCTGAACATGTTAGAATTTGCAGTACAGATGCCCATAAAGATGATCGAAAATTAGGCTGATTCTTTATGTCTAATCTATGCACACACAGGGCACTGCAAGTGCTATGGAATTACATGAGCTTGTTGCATGGATGTATACCCAATTTTTTACCCTTAACTATATGATCTAAAGTAATGCCTCAGGAATTTCTACAGAATTCCTTTAAGAATATTTTAGCAGTTTCAGACAATAACTATACTTTATTACAGGATATTACACAAGTATTGTGGATTACTAAAAGGCTGTAGTACAGGAACAGGCACCCATTACTCATATGGGTGTTTAATGACATACACAGTTTGTATAATCTCTGTAGTAAAGCAAATCGCAAAAAAACTGGATGCTCTGGAGCAGCTGCAAATAAGGTCACAATGCCAGTGGCAAGCAACAGCTAGAGGGGTATTAAGTAGTAGAACTGAATTCTCTGGAGTGATGGGGCTCCACCTATGAGTTGGAGTAGAGTTTGTTATCCAGAACTAATCATCCAACATCAGTACCTGACCTCACTAATGCTTGTGTCTGAATGCAATCAAATCCTTACAGCAGTGTTCAGCATCTAGTAGAAAGCAAAGCGGAGGACAAACTTCCACATAATACCTTTGATTTCAGAGGGAACATTTGATAAGCAGGTATCTACAAACTTTTGGACTTAGAGTATATATATATATATATATATATATATATATATATGACATGACATCATTCTGCCATAGGCTGAATTTTTGGGAAACACTGCTTAGAGTTGTTGTCCTCCCCCCAGCTGAGGTGCAGGTTTAGGACTTTTCTGCACTCCTCAGCCTTTCCCATGACTTTGCAAACCCCTGCTGGTCAATCCTCTCTGTAGCCTTCCTGCCTGTATATGACCCATGGCTGACCGCTAACTGGCTGCTGTGTGCAGTGCAGGCTGGGCTTGGGTTGCCATGTCCTCTCCCTGCCCCCCTCTCTGAGGCCCCTGCTGTGGACCAGCACTCTGCTCCCACACTGATAACCCCCTGCTTTCTGCCACTGCAGGGTCCCCTGGCAAAGCTACGTGTCAGGGCCCTGCTGTGTCACCAGGCCTGCCCGGCTGAGCAGAGCTCTAGCCACAGGCTCTCCTGCAGTGCAGAGAGCTAGCTGATTGATGCTCCGGGCTGGGATGTGTGCTGCACCACACTGATTCTTTTTATGACCTTCCAGCAGGGTAGGATTTATGGCATACAGCACCTTCGTGCCATGTGTGGCACTCTCTCTGCAGGACACTGCACAGGACACTTCTGTTTATCATTTTATGTAGGCCTGTGTTGCTGACAGAGGTTGTAGTGAACCTCTAACTTATCTGTGTAAAATGTTTCCCCCTGGTCTCTTAAGCCCTCTTCATCTTCAAAGAAACAAGTTTCCAGTACAACACTCTTTTACATGTGCTCACTTTATTATTGCCTGCTGTATCTGGTTACATTACCTATAAGAAAACTGATCCACAGTAGTAGTTTTGCTTTGTGGTGTATTTTTGTCCATTTTTATGGATAACAGTCTGTCGTTCAGTGTCAGAAACCAGCAAGTCTGTTTGAGATTACTTTAATAAGGTCCATTCCTACTAGGTTATTTGCTTCTGGCAGCAGTGTCAATATTTTGACTTACTACCTTGAACTAATCACTTATTTTCCCAAAATGTCTTACTATCTCAAAGAGAAAAATTGAATATATTGAAACAAATTGAATATATTGAAACAATGACTTGAAAGACTTAGTATTTTGAAATAATTACTTTTCTCAAAATTCTGACTTAGTATCTTAGTGAAAGTGACATTTTGTAAAAGTGGACTTCTCAATTATTGAGTGGGTGTTGGTGCAAGGAAAAGGAAAAAAAAAGCATTCAAAGCACAATTTTTCTCTTCTAATTGGCGAAAATGGCTTTCCATATGAACAATGTGTATGAAAGTCCATTACTTAGCTGCATTACCCTTGTAGATCCAGGGCAAAAGCAAAGAAACAAACCTCAGCTTTCAAACACCACATCTTGTCTGATCAATTTTAAGAGAAACATTTTATAAATAAGACACTTTTACACTTGTCTTACAGTGTTTTGTATGTTTGTGGATGTGTGTGATTGTGTATGTATGCTGTGTGCAGCAATTGGAGAGCCAGTGAGTCTGGAGTGGTATAATCCTCAGGGTGAGCGTATGGTGCCATCTTCACGTGTTGCTCTGCACAATGAAGGCGTGCGCTCCAGGCTCACTCTCTATAACGCCAACGTTGAGGATGCCGGCATCTACCGCTGCCAGGCTACTGACGCACAGGGACAGACACAGGAGGCGACCGTAGTGCTGGAGATCTACCGTGAGTACAGCCACTCACTCACACAATAGACACACCTAACTTGGTGTTTTACCTGCTGTTCATGAACGCTTTAGCAACCCAGCAGTTATATTTAACAAACTGACCTAAAAACAGCAACAAGAAAGATACTTAAGGGGTGAAACATTGCAGGCCCTAAAAACATACAACCTACTTCACTTAAAGGGTTAAAATGTGAACAGAGCCATCCAGAGGGGTTTGATGTGAGATGTTCCGTTCTAGAGAAACTTTGAGTCACAACAGTGGTAATGGGAATCAGACGCCTGAAGAATTTAATGCCTCTAAAAGCTCCCTCACAGACAGTTATTACATGAAATGGTTACGAGAACGCTGCCTGATGCTAGAGAGACTGCTTTTCATTACTTTGAGAGAATGTTTTGGTCTGAAATGTTTTTGGAAGGCAAAATAGTCCCAAAAGAAAACACTTTTCAGATTTACCGCAATTTTACCATCATTAACATCCTATCACCACCACTGAAATCTGAGTTGGTAGGTTTCTCTAGAATGAACAATTTCATGTCCAACCACTCTGACTGATTCAACATCAGTTGAATTTCCCTTTAAGTTTACTCACAACACAAATGACTATATTGGGTGATTCCACAATTGGGGTGTCATTAGACGCTGTAACTCAACATAAAACTTAAAGGGCACATCATGAAAAAACCATATTGACTTCAAATCCTTAAAATAAAGTGTGATGTACTATGTAAATGATGGAGTTCTGAAACCTACAATTCACTCCCCACTCCACACAGTCTATATATGGAAACTAACATGCAAAAACAACCCAGTCAAAATTTCTTGTTTCTTGTTTTAGTTTATCCCTGCCCATTCACACTTAAGCACTAAAGTTATAAGGAGTGTTTCAGCCTAAACTGCTTTTTGAACGTGGCACAATACATTCAATCACAACAAAGCTCATTTACACATATTAGTCTTAAAATAAAAAGCCTATTTAACACTATGGTAAAAAGAGATGTTGGAAAGTGGTCATGCAAAATGACTGCTTTGGTACATAAAACCAAGATGTAAATGTAATATACTGTAAGTGGTCTTCACTTACATAAAATACAAGAAATATGTAGGACATAGGCCCTTTAAAGTGAAGCCCATCTCAGGCGTAGCATTTAATTTTATACAAGGTTTCATTTCAGACAAAAGCTTAATTGAATAATAGCATTGAAAGTTATAAGGCATAGAATTAGTAAATGTTGAAGTTAAAGATGTTCTGAAGATTTACTTCAAATGTATTTTTAATGAATACTTTCAGTCTATAATTTGGGTATAATGTTTGTGACTTGTGAAATATTCTAGATATTTCATAGGACTGAATGTGCCAAGAATGTCAAGAGACATCAAAATGCACTTTTTAATAACCTTTAATGGATGACTCATGAAAAAAGACTCATGAGGTGTTAAATAGATTCACATATTAATGTAAAAAAAAATTAAAATGCTCTAAAAATCTTTTTACATGATTACATTTTAAGGTAAAGTGATTCAAGGTTATAGTGGGCTGGGACAGCCAAAATACAGCTTTCTAAATGAAAGAAATGTATTAATGTTTTAAGTTATCTATCTATGCACACAGGTTGTTATAAAGGACTCTTTACATACATATTTGCATGTGCAATAGCACTGGGACACAGTGGAACAGTGGAATCCAATAGTGGGACCCTATTGCTAATGTGTCCCCTCCATTTCAAGTTTCCTTAGCACGCATACATTTTTCATTTGATTTAAACTCCTAGTTTTCAGTGCATGGTGAGGATTGTCACTGCTCGTCAGAGGAGGCAGCTCAGTTGTCACGGAGCAGGAGTTTCCAGCTGGTCCATGCTGTCTTTGCCTAGGGAGCTTGATAAGAGGCCTGGTTAAATTCTGTGGGTAGCCCGTCAGAAAGCTATGTTGTGAAGTCAGTCAGCAGCAATGCTCTTATAGGCCCAGTGCCAGAAAGAGTGCCATTCACATCCCACCACACGCTGCACTCTGCATGCAGAGCGGGCTCCCAGGGAGCAAGGCTTCCTGGAGAGCCCGGTTCTTCAGAGCAGCAGAGGCACTGTCAGAGCCTGTACCCTCACATCAAGTCCTGCGGCTTTCAACCAAGGGTGCTGCCAGATACTGTGTACCTGGTGCATTCCCTATCATTTTACATCAAAAGTCCGCAGTCTGTTTGTTCCATTTCTAAGGGCAAAGTAATATTACAGGAGACTTTTGATAAATACTTGAATTTCATACAAAATTTGTTCTTAAATGACTCATAAAAACAAAGGTATGCCTGAATATACATGTGCAATTTTGACATTCGACTGAGTTATTTATAAATATCACAAATTATTGCAGATGTGAACAAACATGAACAAGCTTTTGAACTCTGGACGTCTTAGCAGATTCTATTGGTGTTTCCGGCAAGTACTGCTCAAAAGGTAAAGAAACGAGTACTGCACAGTTACAGACGGTGTGACAAATAGCTGATGTCCATGAAGTTTATGCATTAATCTTAAACTTGCATGTTCAGATGTTTGCACATGCCAAGTGTACGTCTTAACAGTTTTCAGTTTGGGAATTGCTGTAACATTACCTTGCCAGTCATCTATTCAGTAGGGTGGTACAACAATTCAATAGTTCAAGCAGACAGTGAAGTACATTTACATACATGATTTAAAGATAACTGCCTCTGTCAGGATGGAAGGAAGGAAAATATTTTACTAAAGATTTAAGAGTTAAATAAGTATACGAGCTCATGCTAGAGCTGATAGTGTGAACTGTTTTCTGCTCTGATGTGAAACATTTTGGCTTGTTAAAGTAACATTGAGAACATAGATCTTTTCTAACTTCCGATTTTATGATTAGCTTAGCAGCACATTACTTTAGACTTTAGACCTAACGTGTCTGTGGCACGTTAAGGCCATGTTTCATAGTAATGTAAACAAAGCAAAATAGGCCCTGAGCAACCAGTTTATTAGGTACCTTCTTATTGGCCATTTTCTCTCATACACCTGCTAAACATCATGTATTTACAGGTACATTTACACATTTGGCATGAGAGGAGTCTTACCAAAAGACTCCTTGGTTTAGCATGGTGTCAGCTAAACTCCAGTCTACCACATGGAGGGCAGTGGTATTACCCACTACAACAGTGGTCCTGGAGAGCTGCCTTGTTACAGAGCCTATTTCCAACTACAATTTGCCATCACTGCTCTAGCTAATCAACTTCTTCCCTGTTTGGCAAGATCAGATGTATTTGAGCTTAGTAAGGGGCGGAGCGGCGTATTGAATACAGTTTGACACTAAACTCTGAAGGTAGCTACACTATACCAACCTGGTCCAGCCTAGTCATGAAAGATGGTTCTCCACAGTGGTTACTCAGGTTCCTCAAGACAGTTCAGTAAATCAGTAGCTATCTAGTTAGTTAGCTGCTCAACTTATTTGTTTATTTGGATAGCCACACTATTTGCCTGTATATATATATATATATATATATATATATATATATATATATTTTCTGTACAGTTGAAAAACAGCAGATTAAATAGAGATTTATTAAAATTATTTGAATTTGCATGAATTTCACTTTAAATTGTTTTGGCAATGGATTTATTTCATAAGCAGCAATCACACTAATGTCGCAGCACACTGGCACTGCCACTATAAAAAGTTACATCAAATTGGAAACACACTAATTTACAAATTGTTTTATAGATCATTTCTTGAACGTGGACTATTTTAAAAGATCAAATCCATGCATGCAGGGGTTTAAGAAATGAGGTCCCAGGTATTGCATTTTGGTACCATCAAGTGATGTCCCTCTACATTCTCTGCCTTCAGTGTTCCAGTAATGTAGCCTGCAGTATATGTTCTTCTGCCTTCAATGAAGAAAGCCAACAATGGCAATAAAAAAAAGCTGCAGAAAGGCCATTTCGTCCTCAAGCAGATAAATAGTCAGGCTTTACATGTTGTCCAACTAGTGCAATCTCTGCCTTCTAGCCTAGGATTATTCTTTTCAAGCACACAATACAGAAAAACTTTGATCTCAAATTGTTGTAATTCTCCTCTCCAATTTATTCCGAATGCCTTATAGCGAGGCATCAGTTCTTACATGGCTGAGCTATAAAGCAATTCAGGCCTATATTGATGCAAATTGTGTTCTGGAACAGGGATGCTACTGGCTCTACTCTGATGGAAAGACATTATGCATGTTATGTAAACTTAAAAAGCTTGCTTCTCCACTATACAGTACCTTTTTTAAAAAAATAAATAAATAAATAAAAAAGCAGGCCGTTGAAACAGATAGTTCTGAATGAATAGATGACATCAGGCTTTGCCGTAGAAAGCTTTACAATAAAACGAAAAGGGGTGTGTTCCATCTGAAGACCTTTGACAAATCTGTTGATGTAAACCTCAATGTAATTCTTTCGCCGATGAGACAGCTGAGACACACGACAGGAGAGCGGGAGAGCTTTAGTGGCAAGACAGAGAGAACGAGACAAAGAAGAGAAAAGAAAAGAACATGCTGAGGAGAGAAAGAAAGAAAAGAGGGGCAATTACATGGAGACTGTGGATGAATGACATTTTCAGTGTGGCTGTGGAATGCATTAAGCAGGGATGACTGTTACCCAGCCTTATTCACTTGTACAAACCTGAGAAATGAATAGCAGAAAGGCAAATGCAGATAAACAGGAATAAAAATGAGGATAATGCCAAAGATCTCCAGAGCAAAATATGAAAAGTTCAATTTCAAAATATTCAAAAAAAGGATTGATAAAAGGTATTCATTCAATGAGGGGGGGAAACGCTGCCGAGAAAGCTCCTCGTGCAATAAAAGGCTTCGAGGATTGTAAAGGAGGAGATCCTAAAGGAGGAACCTTTATCATAATAAAGACCTTAATTTTAGACATTATGTTGATATATTATTCCTCATTAGACATAATTAATAGCTTGCCATGAAAGTCCCAGTGATATTGCATAAGCACTCTTCTTCTGCTCTTCTGACTTTGTAGCAGGCCTGGCATTTGCTGATGCCCTGCAAGAAGCTGCATTTTGAGCAGAGGAAGCGTGTAAACAGACGTGACTCACAGATCAATACTCACAGCTGATGTGCTGACGAGGGACAGATGAAGTTTTTTCATCCTCTTAAGGCATTTCTCCTTTTGATGAAGAGAAGCTCATGTTTACCATAGCTTCCCACACAAACAGCCTGCGCCACTTCTTAGCATGGCCAGAATCTGATTTAATGGAATATTTCAATTAATACTAAGTTGTGTAACTGTGAATAATTGTAGACAAAGTGCTAACAAGACTGAGTCATCTGCACTGGAGCCAGAAAAAAAAAAGTCGACAATCTGGCCCATGTTCAGTGGCTGGAATGAGCAAAAACTAGTAGCACTGTCTGCTGCTTTGATTTTTGCGAGTTGCTTATTATTCTGGATCAAAGTCAGGACTTGTTCAGATATGAAGGAGCAGGCACACTGAATATGACGAAATGTCAAATCAGAGTTTGAAACCTTTGTGCGGGTCATCAGTAATATGTTCTCACTGATCCTATCTTTTCATATAACGCTCAACGATAAACATCTCAAACAACTGTTAGCTACTGGTGTTTCAAAGGATATTTAAAAGTGTGTTGTACAGTGAGTATGAGTTACAGCTGGACACTGAAGTCATTCTATAAGTGTGAGTAACTCATTTCTGTAGATTATATCTTTCACTACTCTATTTTCAACTATAGTACTGTGCAAAAGTGAGATCACCTCTATAAATCTATATAAAGTTCCAGTCAAAACAGCCATGAAGTACAAGTTATTTTTCAGCATCAGGAAAAGGCAGAAGATATTTAACAGATTCCTCAACAACTAAATATCAATATTTTTCAGTATTTAGTGTTCACTCTTTGCTTTTATTACAACTTTCATTCTTTTTAGGATACTTGCTTTCAGTTTTTCAAAGAAATTTTGCAGGAATATTTTCCACACCTCCAAAATTCAGTCTTAGAAGTTGGTTGCATTTTCTTCTTCTTACAATTCAAGTAATCCCAAGTACATTTAGTGATGCTGAGGTCTGGACTCTGGGGTGGACAGTCCATTGTTCTGAGAGAAACAGGAGCAGATTAATTTAGCATATTTTCTACACATCCTTTTAAGGTCATGGTGCTGAGTTGTCTTCTCACAGTGGAAGGATGGACAGAAACACCTGTGGATGTTTTCAGATCTGAAGCAAAAGTGGAGCTTGATTTTCTCCCCTCTCTCTCTCAAAGATGAAAGCTTTAATTGCTGTTTATCTGATAGTGACAGTTTTGGTGGACTGCCAGGTCTTGGATGATTGTTACCATTTACTCTATAATTTTCTCTATAGTGCCATTTTCTCTACAATGTTGAAGAATGTTTTGAACTCCAGTTTTGGAAACTCCTATTTTCCCCTTATAATACTTTGGCTTTTCCCTTTCTTATGAAAGTAGATTCACTTATATCTAATCTTCTTGGAAATCTCTCCTGAAAAATGTATAACTCACTCAATTGCTGTCGCAACCAGAAATCAAATAAACTGAAGGTGGTCTCTGACTTTTGCACAGTACTGTTTAAATTTCTTAACAGATGCTCTACCAAGTAGCATGACATCATCTTCAGTAGCACATGGGGTGGCAAAGAAAGAGGCCATGCCGTCAACTCCACTGTTTTAGAAGGCTAGCACTAGCAAACACAAAGTAACCTCTGAACTGCATTTCCATAATTTTTTTTTTTTTTTTTAAATAATCAACTTTGGCCAAGCCGTGTTGATAGAGTGGAGGGTGAATCTCTTGGACTGGGATGAATCATAGAGCTATGTGTATGTGTGTTTTTTTTTTCTTCAGTAATTGTTATGTCTGGTTCTGACCACATGGTCAGCCATGTTTGTTGCCATGCGACTGTGTTTACACATGAAAACGCTTCACACTTTGAATGAAACCGACATGCAGCCTCATTACTGAGAGCGGCAGATCTTTTGTGTTTCTGAAGCAAGGCAGCAGCAGCAGCACACGGCCTGGAAACACAGGGCATCTCTCTTAGACCATGTGATCTCTGTGCCAGTGGCCTCTCTTGGCAGATGCAGGGCTCGCTTTGCTTTTGCGTCCACTTGAATACGTTGGCAAGCGCTCACCTCCAGGAATTAATTTACCTCCTTACCACATGTAGATCCCTGGACAGAACTTCGGCCATGACTGGAATTGCTGAGCGGAGGCATGCGTGCGATACTGTACGCAGAACCACGTCCGGGCGAATTTTAATATGCAGACCAATTTGAGGCTGGTATTAGATCAGCCGAGACTTTCCCAAATCAGATCAGGCTGTTCCAGTGGTCTATGGATTTAATCAATCACAGTGGAGCTACTGTTGACCATTAAGTCATTCACTCTTGACCCACATCAAGCTTTTAACAAATATTTGGAAAGCAAAGAAAGGATGAGTTTGTACCCTTGTGCTTCTTGTCATGTCAAACCATCTCTCATTGAAGTAACTCTGTAGTGTCTTTTTTATCCTTACATATCACACTAATGCAGGAATGTCAGTTCAGAATATCATACTTTCAACCACAAGTTCCAACAGTGTTTACTGAAGTCTTTCCTATAGATCTAAATGCAAATGTCACTTCAGTCACTGTTCCTGTGTGGAAGAATACGCACTGATGTTTTTTCACTGATTTATTGCTTTTTAAGTTTTAGGCTGTCTGCACATGCACTGTATATAGTCACTGTCCAAAAAAAAAAAATAAAGAAAAAAAAAATGCATCTCCATTGTGGTCCATTGTTATTTTTCATGGTGGCTCTCCTTTACATTGTATGAAAATTTCATGTTGAATGGACCAATATAAATGATTCAAAATCACTTGGAATAAAATCTATTTACATTAACTCACATTAGAAGTTAATGTTAGCAGTTCCCCTGTAAAGTTACTATTTTGGAGATAGTGTTTTCTGGGATAGCGACGATATTGACGAAAAACACCAAATATATTCATTTCATATATTCATTCAAATTCATGTGAAAACTTTTTGAAGTGTTGATATTACCTCTAATCTCACTCACAATAATAGAATGATTTACTGTTGTCCCATGTGATAGACATTTATGAAGGATCATTTAACCCTTTCACAAAACTGTTACATCAAACACATTTGCTGTGCCCAATACTCTCCTCCCTCTCTCCCAGAGAAGCTAACCTTCAGGGACGTGCCGTCACCTCAGGAGTTTCGTCAGGGTGATGTGGCTGAAGTGGTGTGTGATGTCACCAGCTCTCCAGTGCCAGTGGTTGCGTGGTACTACAACAACATGGAGATCACTGAAGACACAGAGAGTGAGTTGCTATTTAAGGACTTACCTTGGGAAAGTTTTCTGAAAATTTCAGGTGGCTTCAAACGTGATTTAAATCAATAACTGAGAAAGTTAAAAAAAAAATGTTCCACCTGAAAGAACTTTTGAAGGTGATTTCTGTAGCACAATAATTAAGTTTAGCTTTGGAAAGCAAAACATTTGAGAAAGAGACAAATGATATCAGAGCTGACTCACTCAGAGCTAAATGACTCAGTGCCTTTTTAGATGTTATGCTAAAATAAAAGTTTTGTTGATAAGTTTCACCTTTTGGTCTAGTAACACAAATCTAATGAATATAGATTAATGACATAAGCCTCACACCCACTATGGTGGTATAGATGTCTAATTACAGACTGCAGACCATCTGTTGTCAGCCACCCACAGTTTTTCAGCTGCCCTTTACCCTATTTATCATTGGGCAGTTTCTGACCACAGGACTACTGTTGTTCAGATATTGTTCGGATGGTGGATCATTCTCAGCATAGTGATACTGACAGGGTAGTGACAGGGAAGCATAAGTGGTGCTGGTACGAGTATATCAGGCCTGACCCACCACCAAAAATAACCAGCCAAGAGTGGATGTGTCATCATAAGGCTAAAGGAAGGCAAACAATGTTAATGGCAACAGATATTTCTAAATGTAAACTAGTAAAATGGACCCGTATACTGTCAGAAACAAAAGGTACAGTGCGGGTACACTTTGTTCAACTTAATGTATAAATGTGCCCTGTCTAACTAAGTTTTTCCCAGGAGAAAAGTGCACACACATACATATGCATGAACATTTTATTTTATTGTTCTAAAAAGATACATAAAATTGGAGACGAGAGGGTATGGAGAATCAGTACTATTTAATATATATAATAGTAATGGAAAATGGTACAATGTCCTTATGGTACAATTAAATCCTTAACTAAAAAGGTACTAACTACAGTTTAGTACCTTTTTGAGGAAGTGTAAGGCGTTTCTAATAAAATGGTCAGTGAATGTTGGAATGTTGATGTTTTAATTACCAATTTATGATCCTTTCATTGTTTTCAGAGTTCCAGCTCCTGCCTAACAACAACCTGCAGGTCCAGCGAGTTACTAAAGCAGACGAGGGTGTGTACCGCTGTGAGGCCAGAGTGGAAGCCAGGGGTGAGATTGACTTCAGGGACATCATCCTGGTAGTCAATGGTGAGTTCTTTATCATGGAGTGTTACAGTGCTTGAACAGGTTTCCATTACAGTCTTAAAAATAAATAAAAAGGTGCCAAAAAGGGTTCTTTGCCATAAAAGAACCATGTTTGGTTTCCTAAAAACCTTAAATGGACAATTCTTTAGGGCAGTGGTCCTAAACCAGTCTCTCAGACAGCTCCAACTCACAACACATAATGAAACAGTGGAAAATGTGAACCACCTGAACATCTCTGTGGACCAGTTTGAGAACTACTGCCGTTTCCATTCCACCATATTCCATTCTGAGAATTTGGCATTTTTCCCTGAAACCAATTCAAATCTACTGCCAGAAAAGTGCATGCATGTTCATGTTGGGCACAGTGAAATGTATCAGCATGTAAAATCAGAGCTGTGTGCCAGCATGTTTGTCACTATATGAAAGACGTACAAGACTTGATTTACTGTTGGATGCGCTGATTTTATTTTCCCCCTAAGTGAGTGTGCAAGTATATTGTTTTATTTAATCAGAGAAATGATAAAACTGATGTGCAACTTATTCACACATTTCCTTGTTCAAAAGGGTTGTTTGTGACATTAAATAAAAAGCTATGAATTATTGTCTTTGTTAGATCACGTTCTTTACATAAATAAATGCAACAATAGCACTGAGGAGTCACGCAATTAACAGACAAGAGCAGATTAAATGGCAGAAATAGCCACAGGTTATTTTTGAAAGGGTTACAAGATCTTCCACCCAATGTAAATGTTCTATAAGGAATCTTCAATTTGGTATAAAACCGTTACATTATGTGAAGATTCAAAGCTTTGAAAAAAATTCTTCAAAACAAACAAATCTTATTTCCAAGCATGATTCTTTAGGGAACCAAACAAAGATACTTCTATGGCATTTTTTTTTTTGAAGCGTGTATAGGCCTGTCACCACTACCACACAACTGCCTAGGGATTATTTGAGCTGACCACAGTCATTTCCATACTTGTTAACTATTGCAATCATTTGTTTACATCACATCAACCAGAATAAAAGAAAGCAGAAATGCAATTGAGACACACGCATCATTTTGATTTGTTGCTATAACACCTGTAGAGGGCAGTAGTCAGTAAAGTTTGTTTATTTGAGCTTGAGCTGTTTGTCAGGTGGGAGCTACTAAGTATGGATAGCTAGGAAGCAAAATAGCTAAATCAGCCAATTTGGTCATTTTAGGCTTGTACTTTAACAGTCGCATACAATGAACAAAATGACATCACAATTATTGATACGGTAAATAATCCTTAGCTAAAATTTCATGATCATGACAGGCCTAAGAGTAGAGATACATTGGATAAAGGAGAGTTAGAAATTTCTCTTCCAGTTTAGTTTCAGTGCCCACAAAAAAAATTTATTCACTCGATTTTTCAAAGACTATTTCACTACATTTCAGTGTTGTGGATATCACTTCTATATAGGTCCCTTAAAACTACCACTCCAAAAAAACAAAGAGATAATTTCCCATACTTTAATTTCAGTTGTATTCCATACTAAAAAGAATACACTCTGTACTACTGACCTGAAATTAATATTATAACCAAGATTTTATTATATCCATCAAAATTACCCTACCATATAGCACATACTATGGCCTCAAAGCTGTCTTTAAAAACATTACGGTTGTGTGATTGAAGATGAGAACAGATGAGCGGAGATGATATGGAGAGATTAGCCCCCTGGCTTCTTCATGTCTGACATGATGAGAGCGAACATAGGCCAGAGTCTTCTCAGTTCACTGCCGAAGTCTCTCCGGCTGATCTAATAATGCTGCTCAATGAGGCGTGGCTGATAATCCAGCGGACATGACAACACAAATCAGACACTGACATAAAACAAACGCCAATCCACAGGCGTGCCTCCTAGCCCCCGGCACTGCCAGGCTAAGCATATTAGTGTGCCTGTTTTTCAATTGCTCATTGAAAATAAATACTGCGCTAATACTGAGCAGCCTAATCAGAAATACTGAGGTCCAGATGTACGTTCATGAGGCACAGCAGAAAATGTGCTTCGACGCAGCAACAACATGCAGTCATGATGCATCTGAAATTAAGGTTCAGTTTGCTAACGCTGTAGCTAATTATACAAACTGTGCATAGGGCTGTCTACTAATTATGCTATTTTTGTGATGTGTAGAGTTTCAAAGGTGCAGTGAAAATAGTGGAGCAGTCAACAAGCTCCAAAAGCAAAAATGCAAGTTAGCACAACATTGCATCCCTCAGTCTCAGTGGTTATGCAGAATACATGATTTTGTGTCATTGTGTTTATCCATCTCTGTTCTCTGACTACAATACCCAGCATGCATTGTGCAAATACACCCAGTGACCACTGGCTCCCTAGCAGTAATCTCAGCCCACATGTAAACAGATCATGTAATATCTTTGCATATTAAGCTGGCCACAATGGTCAGGATTTGGTCAGTTCCATATTGACTGGCGATCTGCAGAGCTTTGAACGCAGGTTGTTGCATCAGTCCAATAGGAAACATACGATTTGAAGTCTGTGAAGGTCACAGCATTATGTCTTTAATAGTTTTACTTAGGGTTAAAACAGAATTTGGAGTACATCAATAATGCCATAAGAGTCCAGACAAAGTGCATAGTGTTATTCTGTTTGTGAATATTCCATCAGCACATGTTCAAGACTTGTACTTCTGTGTAGGAAGTTAAACAGGATACATAAAATCGACTGCACTTCCAATACCTCCACCCATTTTTGCATCCTGCCTCAAATGCATATCACACATAAGCTGAATATTAGGCTGGTATGGCAGTTTTGTACATACAACGCATGGTTATTCAGGCAGAATGCACACTATCTGCACCTGAAAAGGGCACAAAAGGCTTACTGCATTCAGCCTTGAGTCACTGTTGAAGACTGTGCCATATGTAAAATGGGGGGGGGATCTCTTTTCCTGCAGTTTCCCTCTTCATCTTTCTTTTAAGTTCCCCTCCCATACCACTGTGCATCTGCAAAGCCTCTCATTTTTGTCCCAAACTGATTTAGCCTGGTCGGCTAGGCTTGCTGAGAGCTGGTTTAGGCCTGTGTCAGATGCTTCACTGACCTCGTTTGATGTCTTTATGCCCAATTGTGCCTCACATTAGCAGACCTGTTCCAGTTGGGCCCCCTCATCTGGGAATGAGCTCAATTAAATTATAGCCTTTGGAAAATGACTATCGATTGGCAAGAACGTCAATGATAATCTAGTTGGAGTTGTTTCAGCGCATGACTACCAAGCCCCATGCAGAGTGTGTTTTATTCATGTCTCTCAGCACATTTCCTGCATGTGTGCGTGCACGTTGTTATAGTAAACGTATACAGTAGGAAGACTCTTAATTAAAGCAGTGATTTTTAGTACAAGCTAATATTCTGAGTGCAGTCATTTTAACTTACTTCCAGTCGCTTGGTTCCTGTCTCTGGAACGAAGCCAAGATGCTGAGTTATGCCATGGTCATTCAAAATACTTCTGAACACACTACATCACAGGTCAGCATTATATTTCACAATGGCCATACCTACAGTCTCATCATTGTCTGGCAGGCAGCAAGCTTTTATTATTTATATAGGCTTTCAAAGCCTAGATTGCAGGACACATTTCGATTAGTACACTAATGTATTTGCAGGCTGTTATTGGATGTAATCACTGAACACAGTGTAACTATTTATCTAATAAAAAAACGTAAAATTAAATGGGGGTGGTACAAACTCCATTCTAAGGCATGCCACTTACCATTACCAACTATTGGACAAAAGCTTTTATACATGGGCTAACTTGGCGACTGTTTACAATGCTAAAGCTGCAGTCTTAAGGACACCTAACGTAAAGGAGCATGTTACCTTGACAATTCAAGTTTTGGCTTCCTTTATTTGTTTTTATTTAAAATTTAAAAGGGGGCACTTTAGCCAAAATAATATTGAAAAAAATGTTGCTTCATCTGTTGTAAAAATGCTTATGTGCCTCTTATAATGCTGCCACCGTAGTCTTTAGAGTGAGATTGTCTGGTTTAAAGATTAGAAAAACCCCCTTCTGATGATGCATCTTGAAGGTTGGAGGTATTTTTCAAAAACAACAAGTGCTTTAGGGCAGAAAATTGAGGGCAGGCTGTTCAAAAAAATGACTTCTTGCTAGCTGGCTTATACAGAAACTAACGAAGAAGCCAAATATCACTTCTGTATTTATTAGGGGTGTATGATGTATTGGCTTAATGCATGCTGGGTATTGTAGTGAGAAAATAGTGATGGCAGAAAACACCAAATAAGATTTACGAAATCACAAATTTGGTCTAATTGCTGAAGTTAAGGGATGCAATGCTGCACTACATAACACTGCATAACACTACAAATATAATTGCTAGTATTAAGCTGGTATGCCCCTTTAACTTAATATTTCTTAATGATGAGCATCAACACTGTGGGCACCAACTAGCCTGCTTGTACACGCTAGCAGACTACGGCTCTGCAATAAGTGAAATACAATAAAAACAGCAGCAGTGATGACACGATGGCTCGTATCTGTGTTTAATACCTAGAGGGCTACTATCCTTTGAACAAAGCAGTGTGCTGTTTTCTCTCCTGTCTGATGGCAGTAGACAGAGTTGATGATGAGAGGAGTGATTGAACTTGGGCTTTAACAGTGATGACCCCCATCACAGCCTCCAGCTAATCTGCAAAATAACTATAGTTTCAGAAGAGCCCACGCCACACTAATGTTTTTTATCGTCCCGCAGCCTACCTGCCATGATTTCCTTCTAATTTTCTCACTCAGAATCTTACATTAACAACTGATTGCATTCCCCATCACATAACTGCCAGGAGATTGCGGAATTAATTCGGACCGGCCTTTCAGCAATTTGGACCTTCCTAATGAATGACCCATTATGTGCGTTCTGTTAAACAAATACTGTGTGCATTTATGGCATCTAATAGAGGGCGAGAGAGATGTTTTAGTTGATCTAATATACTGCCAAGTCGAGCTGAAAGTGACCATGAATAAAACATCCCCTTAATTTAATCTTTTTACCCTAGCTCACACTCCATTAAATTGTGTTATGTCTTTAAAGGAGCATAATTCAAAATGACGCTCATTTCAGATAGCAGCGCCCCATCCATTCTCCAACCCCAAACAGCTGGAATAGGGGAGAACAAAGGAGATGAGCTTGTGTTGTAATGATAAAAATGCCAGAAAGAGCTGATGAAGAAGCTCTGCTGTAAAAAAAAAACATTCATGCTGCAGTTAAAACCAAGTTTAAACCATTTTAGCAGTACTCTTTTTCCCTGAACAGATGTTAGTCATTGGCTGGGCTCATATCATCAGGGTGAAGTGGCACAAATATGAATTTTTGCCTTAATATGGCTCAGATTTGACGTTGTTAGAGCTGTGCAGACACAAAAGTCAGTTCTGATCTTCTTTGGCAACATTCAGACTGCAGGTAAAGCATCACCTGAATCAGACTCAACATCCAAATCCGATTTCATTGTTAAGGCCCAGTGTGAATGAGCAATTCATCAAAATTGTTTATGGTTAAATCTCATCATAAAATGAACGCACACAAACTTCACCGACAGTTTATTTATTACATCTTTGGCATATATCCAATTTTAAATTCAAGTCTGGTAGAAGTATTTACAAATTTGACGAAAATAGCCTGAAAAATGCCTTATTTGCGGTTAATCAAAATTATAAATAACAGTAAAAAAAATAAAATAAAAATAACTTTGCACACAGCAAGGCTTGTAATAATGTGGAAGTACATCCCTAACATGAACACTGATAAATGCTGCCGCTATATTGCTGCTTTCAGAACAAAACCTTTGGTCGCCAAAAAGGTAACTTTACAGGAAAAGGAAACGTTCTTAACTTTCAATGGATGTAAATGGAGAAACTGTTTTCCAAGTCATTTTGGATAATTTCTGTTGCTCTGTTAACCATGAAGACAAGGTAAAGGGCAACTGCTTTTTTCAAAATGTGTCAAAAAATGTAAAACGACAAATGAAGATACAAGGTTTTGCCCCAACAGCAACAATATGTTTCAGTTGTGTAAAGCCAAAGCCTTAATAGTAAATAACTATCTTCCTAAAATATATAGCCTAGTACAGCAGTAGTCCATATGGCAAAATTATCACTCAATAATATGTTTTATGATAACTCTACACAATAACATTGTTACCGCCTGGAAAAAAAAACATTTTCACCTTTTTTTTTCCCCCAATCGTAATTTTAATACTGTAAAGCTATTTAAGCTCAGGCCAGAAGGGGGGCGGTGCATGTTCTGCTCTACCCCAAACTATGCCTATGAAAATAATCTTTGGTTCATGAGCTGCTAAAATACTTTTCTTTTAATTCTTTGCTGTCAAAACATCTGCATGAATTTAGGCATGCATGTAAAAGATGTGTATATGCAAATAATTTGGTGTTTGCCCATTACAAATTATATGTAAATAAGGTAAACGTGGCACTTATTTCCACACATTTGAGCTGTTTCATCAGTTGTGCCCAAACCACAACTTCATCATAGTACAACAGTTGAATTAGACGCAGAGTAGTCTGTACATCATTCAGGGCGGTCAAATCTGAACATTTCTATGCATCTTTGATGCATAAGGGCCATTATCTTTTTACTGTGGCCTATATCTGACAACAGTCTGAACAGATCATGCTCTTGAACTGATCTGCATGTGCAAATGGACGTGAATCTCCTTGACATTCATTCAACTTACGTAGCTGTCCTTTCAACTCCGTTCAAGCATTGTCAAAATGAGCTGTACAAACTGCTACTTTAAACGTGGAGAACAGACAGTAGACACAAATGACCAAGTTTACAGAAAAAAAGCAAAAGAAATTATGAATTTGTGTGCTTGTTTTAATTATGGAAGATTAAGATCAAGAAGTTTCTTTGGTTTCCTGCCTTGAAAAATGCTAGCAAGGGATGCAAACTCCATTCCACAACAGTAATATGTAGTGGATAAATGCATATGAGCTGTCTGAGGCTCCTTTACTTTTTTCTTTTGCAAAATATCCCTGAAGCAAACATTGAAAAGCTGTTAGTTTGATTTCTTTTGTTAAAAAGCACCACGCTTATTTGTTTACTCTTCTTTTGTCTCGCTTGTCCTCCAAAATGAAAGGCTTGAAGCATAACCATAGTAACAGGCATTTTGATGATGTCGCCATAAGGTGTCTGTACCTGCACTCGATAATTATGATGAAAACTGAGTTGGATTGACAAATAAGTCTCATGAATTACAATGAGACAGAGGTCCACTCTGCATCGGATATGTATCGGGTTTCAGTTCCGCATATAAAAGAGGCCCAAATCAAAATTGAAACCGTCAGATATGTTTTTTTTACTGTTGACACTGTCACACAAAAAACAGATGTGTCGCATATGAAGAAAAAGATCCGATTTGGGCTATGTTTCCTTGCAGTGTGAACGTAGGCCAAGTTAAAGTACAACACAGATCTGATGTTTTGAGATCTGTGCTGACACACAAATCAGATCTTTTCAAGTCAGATTGGAGTGACTTTGGATATGTTCACACTGCAGATAAAAGTGACCCAAACACTAAGCAGATTCTATTGTTTCATCTCTCTTGGTAGACAGTGCCATGCTTATTTGTTTACACTGCCTGTCCTTCAAAATGAAATGTAAGGTGTAATTGTAGTAACATATGTTGGTGACATTGCCCTAAGGTGTCTGTTCCTGCAGTGACATTTTCCTAAGGTATCTGTTGCATGCAGGTTGCTTCAGAGCACAGGTTTATAATAACTGACATGAGTCACTCCACCTTGCAAATATGAACCAAGGAATTGGATCTGAGCAAAAATTCACAATTAAGCAGAGAGGCTTGTAATGTGAACATAGCCCCCACTCAATTATTGTATCTTTGTAAAGAGTAGGGCCGAGACTTGTGTGCGAATGTATGTAGTCATATGAAGTAAATACACTTAAGATATGTGGACATCAGTATTTGATCAGTTAAACAGTATACGTTGATAAATGTTATGTAATAGAACATAAAATAATAGAAATTTGAGTTTGCAAAATCAACATTATTTCAAAAATTAACTGAGATTTCACTTATTTCTACTGAAAAAGTAAGTACATCCCTGGCTTCAGTGACCTATTTCCACCTTTGGCAGAACAACTTTATGTAGCCGTTTCCTACAACCATCTACCAGTTTCTTACATCTCCCGAGAGAACTTTTTGCCCCCTCCTCCATGCAGAATTCTTTCAAATGTGCAATGTTCGAGAGGTTTCTTGTACGTACAGTCCGTTTCAGACAGTATTTCAGTGGGATTCAGTGGGATTCAGATCCAGATCTAGGCCATTCCATAACCCTCCATTTCTTCCATTTGAGCTTGGTGGATTTACTTGTATGTCTGAAATCATTATACTGTTAGAGGGTCCACTTCTTCAGCTTCAACTTCTTTTGGCCTCACATTCAACTCAAGCACTCTCTGATAAACAGAATTCATAGGTCAATTCTATGATTGCAAGTTGGCCAGGCACTGAGACAACCACTGTCTGTGGTTTTCACTAAACATTGCTTATAGTACAACTCTGTCTTTGACTCATCTGTCCATAGCACATTGTTCCAGAAGTCTCAGATATTCTTTAGCAAACTTTAGTCTTGTCTCATTGCTCTTATCAGACCTCCTATGTAGGTCAAATTTGCGCAGAATCTTTCTAATAGTAAATGCACGCACTTTGTCATCGGTAGTGCAAGAGTTATCTGTTGATCCTGTAATGAAGTTCTGGGGTTCTTAGAAATTTCTTTTGGCATATTATGGTCTGTTCAGGAGGTTAAATTTACTGGGGTGGCCAGCCCTGGACAACTTGGCAGTGGTTTTAAAATGTTCTCCACTTGATCTTCTGGACAGTGAAATGATTGATTTCCAATATTTTGGAAATCTTCTTAAACCCCTTTCAAGACTCATAGGCATCTACAGTCTTGTTTCTAAAGGCCTCAGAGGGCTCTACTGGTCTAGACATGATACCCCACACTTCAATAACAAAGAGCAAACCAGACCAGATGTTTGAGGTTTAAATATGACCTCTTCCTCCAAAATATACACTAATGGTGTTTTAATCATTAGCACTGTATGTGGTGCACCACATGTCCAAACATGATGAAAAGTTGAGACTTTTTCAGAGGGTTTACTTACTTTTTCACATGACTAAAATATATACAAATAAAGTGCTGGAATAGAGTGTATTTCTTGTACCTGTGTTTTTGTTACATTAATGCAGAATGATCACTGTGAATAAGTGAACAGGGAGTTGATTTATTATAATGTCAGTGCAAGTCTTATCAGGTCATCTGCGCTGACCCATCAGTTGACCCTTTACTCTCGACATTAACCTTTCAAAGTATAATAAACTGAGTTGGACAAGAAGTATTGATTTAAAACTGGAGAGCACCTTATGTATTTATTCATTCTCTCACTGCACAGTTATTCTAAGTACAATCACGTTGAGGGTGAGAATATGATTTGCGAGTAAGCAGTTAGTTGTTTTACAACTAGATTTGGATGTAAATTTAAACTCAATACATTAGGAAGTGAAATTCAGGGTTGTAGAGGTTTTGTATCAGTATAAGAAGGTTTTAGCATTTTCATTTAATGTGTTTCTTTCTCCAACAGTTCCACCAGTGTTGTCTGTGCCTCAGCAGTCCTTCAATGCAACAGCAGATTACGGCGAATCTGTGACGTTTACTTGCAGAGCTTATGGCTCTCCTGAACCGGATGTTACCTGGCACAGGTATACCTGACTGCATGACACACTTAGTCCCTCCATTCCACACTACTTAGTAGGTAGAGGTCAAAACCAAGGACTGCTTACTGTGCTGCGAGACTAATTGGACTGAACTGTGGAAGAGCAGGGCACTTCTATGAAATTTGTCTTATTTGGCTGGGTTTGCATTAGGGATGCAAATTTTGGCAAATTCGATTTTTTTGACTGACCATCAATTAGTAGTTAGTCATTAACCAGCACACCTAAAATAAATTGTGACCCATGAAATTATAAACTATCACAACCTATTTTGCTTATAAAATCTGATTAGTCATGTCCAAAGCTATTGTAAAATAATTGGTATAAGCCAACTTATCAGCACAGACATCAATGAATCTATTAATTCTATAACATTAATGGCCAGAAACTTTTTAGAATGTATTCTAAGAACCCACTTTTTTGTTTGAGTAGAAGGGTGTTTATGATTATATGACCAAAAGCTAAAAAGTTTACGAAAACACTGGAATATACCATGGTGAAAGTTCTATACTCTAAAAGTTCTATGTACCACTCAACTTCAAGTTAAAATGAACACAAATGCCATGACTGAGGCTAGCTTTGGCTCAACTTTGTAGAGCAGCTTGTAAAAGCCATCACCATCCACCACGTTGCCCTCTTTTGCACACTTGTATGATTTCCTCACGCCACTGTAAATCACACTTTCTTAGGAAGAACATGGACAAGATCACTTCCGTCTTATTGCTTGTGGATGTTTGCTGTCAATTTGGTTGTAGTGTACTACTGCCCTCCATTTAAAAAGTGTTCCCAAACACTACCATTATAAACGGCACGCTACATTTTTAGTTAGCCTATCTAGCAGAACCTATTGTCCATTGCACCTATTGCACCCTCAAGTGTACAACTCAATGTAACTTTAAATTAAAATAAGTAAATTAAATGGAAGTGTTTTGTTTATTATCAAACAAACAAAACAAACAAACAAGGCACTAGTAGGTCGCCATTGTCACACTGATGCCATACGGCTGCAGTGGAGCTAGTCCCAGGGAAAATAAGACAATCAAAAAGATTTTCTCTTGGCTAATGTCATGCACTAGCTTTAGTTGGAAAACTGATAGCACTGGTCAAACAATTGTTTATTTGTCGGTTAACAGTTCCCCAGTGAAAATATTATATTTTTATAATCTGTAAAACAAAAGGACAAAATTCACCAAGAAAATAAGTCAGTGAAATGAGCTCACTTTCTTTATCCATTTCTTCCTGCGGTGTTCTGAGAATAAGCTTGGCCCATATGAATAAACCTTTATTCTTTACCCAGACTTCACTGTTCTTTTACAGCCCAAAATTATGTATGTGAAATTACACTGAAAGGTTATGCCTACAGAAAAAAAAGAAAAAAGATTTGTCTCAGAAAGTAAAAGTTTTGGCAAATTAAAGCGCTGTTGGAAGACTTGGGAAAAGAAGTGCGGAGTCACTGTGCGACAGCCTTAATGACACATTTGGAGTGGACACATTTATTTCACCTCTAATATGTGGGCTTTGAGTGACAGGCGGCCCAACGTGTTGATTACAGGCCCTCAATCACTGTAATTACCTCTGCTGAGATGGGAGCGAGCGAGATGAATCCGATCTGTGCCAAGCACTTGCACACGCTGACCTTTAATGAATGAGCCTAACCAAACCGCTAACTGAACACCGAGGCATGACAACAGCACCACCAATTATAGTATGCCTGTTGAAACCTGCCCTTTAATTTTATTTTCAATTCTTATTTTTATTTATTTATTTATTTATTTGTGGCACAGTGCACATATATTGGGAATTTGAGGAGTGAATTATGTGTGAACTATTTTGGGATGCTGTTTGAGCTGCTTATTATTTGTCTTGATTCTTAGGCAGCATTATAACAATGACTACACTGGTGCACCTTAATCCCTCCGATATACAACTTACATACATGCTGCACTTGCCAGTGTGTCAAGTAAAAGAGGTACTATTTAAACCCTCTTACCCAACACACCATTGGTGATACATTCAGACTTGGGGTTTGTCCCCTTTAAAAAAAAATAAAATAAAATCTGCCCCCAGAGTAGTTACAGCATATTCACGTTCACATTGGGCACAGTAAAATGTGTCAGTATGTGGAGTCAGAGCTTTGTGTGTTATTGTATTTTATCACTGAAAAGATAAAAGCTTATTATTGATGTCTTGAAGTGTGAAGTACAGTTCTGTGCAAAATTCAGAGACCACCTTTCATTTATTCAATTTCCATTTAAAATTGCCATTAAGTACAAGTTGTTCCAGAAATTTACAGAAGCCTGAACAAATCATTTTTTGGTATTTTGGGTCCACCTTTTGCCTTGATTACAGCGTGTCCATTCTTTAGAGACTTGCTTTCAGTTTTTTTTAAGACATCTGCATAAATAAAGTAATAAAAAGCAGAACTAGACAATTTTGGTCCTCAACATTAATGGATTCAAGACATTTAAGATAAATTTAACATTATAATACTGACAGTTTTATGGCAGAGCCAATGTAACAAGTATATGACCTGAACCACCACCAGCATTTTGGATGTCTCACTGTTTCTCTCTAATAGTGTCTCTCTCTTTGGTCTCTGAGATTCTGTTTCGTCCTCTCCATTTCCTGTGGGGGCCTCTGCTTTAAACGGATTTCATTTCCGTTCCATCCACGCCCGGCATTATGACAGTCTAAAGCCTCTGCTGTAATCTCTTCCAAAAACATTCAATTACTCCAGCGCTCAATCTCGCCTGCACACCTTTGCCTATATAGCTCTGGTTATAGGTGTATTTTCTGTGTCAGTGAAAAGGAACAAAAACCTAAGTCAAATGAGGAATGGGTTGTTTTGCTACATAGGTCATGTTTTGTCTGTGTTTTTGTTGTCGTCTTGTTTTGCGTTTTCAGGTTTATGCTTCGGTCTTTGTTCTTATGCAGCTTGAACCCTACATGTGTCTTTTTTCCCTCTTTTTATTTTTTGATAATCCTATGACAGGCTGACATGTGTGTCTATGTTTGGTCTTTGGTCTGTTAGGAAGGGAGTGGAGCTCCAGGAGTCAGAACAGTACATAATGAGGGCACGAGGTACCACTCTTACCATCCGGAACATTAAACAAGACGATGGCGGCTCCTACACCTGCAAAGCCTCTAACAAGGCAGGCGAAATGCAGCAGGAGATCTTTCTGAAAGTATTTGGTGAGAGATCTCACTTTATTCCACTTATACAGCTTATGTAGCTGTTGACAGAGAAGCAGTTTATTTTCCATAATGGTTAATTTATGATGTGTTAAATGTCAAAACTATTTAGGGATTTTCAAAAATGGGGGAAACTACAAGCATTTCTGTTTAAACTGCTTCAGCAGAGATGATGCAAATGTTTGATGAATAACAGTCTCGCAGGCAGGTTCATCCAGATCTAAGAGGTGCGTGATTTAAATATTTCAATAATGAAAGAAATCAGGCTGGAAAACATCACTTCAGGCAGACTCAGCAGTTTAATTGATCCATTAAATGTCAGTGGAGAACTTTTCAGGGTGTTGCAGCATGGATACTAACATCAGTCATGATCAGATAAGTACTAAGTCAGAGTGTTTGGTTAAATGGTGATATTAAGTAAAGAATGTCTGGGTCCCAGGAGTTTGCACAGAGTCTATTTGCACAGAAGGAACTCTATCATTCAGAGAGTGATGTGATAGCTAGATACTCACTCTTCCTCTTAACCCCCCTCACCCACCAGCCTTCCACTTCCAGCCCTCCAGTGTGAACTGTTTCCCCTTCCATAAACAGGCTCCTAAATTATTTAACAGGAAATGGGTGACACTTTCTTTATGGCCAAGAATTTCAATTTAGATTTTCATGAAGCTGCCAGCATTTTCGCAGATTATTCAGATAGCACCTTGTCTGCTCATGTAAATGTATGGAGATTTATTCTGTAGTCATCAGAATCCTTTCAATGTGCAAGCAAAAGGTACTCTTCAAAGAGCTCATTTAAATGAAACCTAGTTATTGGATGGGAGTTTTGTTTTGCAAAGGGTGATGGGAAACGTAGTTGTAACTTTCCTTTTTACGACCTCTGACAGCTAACTGGAGAGTTGCAGGGCTTTCCACTTGGCTGGGCCTCTATCTCATGCATTTCTCCACACTCATAAAACTTGTTTCTCATTGTAATAAACTACATGCCAAAGCCTGGGGTTTGAGTCCTGTGGACGTGGCCCATCTTATTAGCTGCTCACAGCCACCCTGAAAAACGCATGCATCAAATGAGCTCATAAGTTTCACAGTGCTTATACGAGGCTGCTCCCTTAAAGCTCTGGTCCATTGCCTTTTGAAATAGTTTTGTATTGTGTTCGATTTTTCTTGTCATTTATAGTAAAGTACTAAAAAGCACTTTAAAAATGTGACTTTAGTCATTTATTTTCATTTAGGCATTATAGTCAATGTTGCACACTAATGAACTGTGTCCAACATGGAAGCATGCATTGTTTCAAAGATTTATCTTCAGCAGTTGGATCACTTTTTTTGGAATAATTCATTGAGATTGTTGATTGCTTTGTTTCAAACTAGTGAGGTAATGATACACATATATTCAGATTCAATATGATTGCCAATAATAAAACAAGCCTTAAAAATGCACCCCTCTAGAATTCATAAGCAACTTCAGGAGAAAAGTACAGACATGGGTCCAGACACTGAGCATGGATGTTTATACAAAATAAGCTCCTCCCACCCACATTAACGGGATAGGATACATCCGGATGTAGTGCTGGGTATTGCTAGTAAATTCACAACACAGTACAATACAAAACAATGTCATTGCACATTTGGTGTATTATTTGGTCAGAGTTTACTTTCAAATGAGTTTTAAAAACTACAGTAATAATGAAAAAAAAAATCAGTATATAATTGTAGATGTAATGACATTTTTTAAATTATGTTCACTTTAACTAATGAATGATGAATGAATAACGCAGTGGGAAATTCTAAGAACTATATTATAGGTGTGGTTCACTGAAGTGAAGGTCAGAGCGGAGAGAGACAGACAGAGGAGTGAACTTTCTGGATCTTCAATCACAAATGCAGCAGCCCAGGAACGTGTCTGCAAAATGTTCATAGACACATACCACAGATTACACCAGTAACACCAATAGGGTTGCCACCTCAGACCTGTAAAATTCCTGGACGCTCAATAAGTGGCTTGATTTTTAACTAAATTCAGCAGGCAGGCAGCTATGCTCACACTGCAGCCTAAGGTAGATACTGCAGTCTGTTCAGCTCCAGAACCTGATCTCTTTTGTTGTTCTTTTGTTCTTATTAGTTATCTGGTGTCAAACAGAGGAGGATGGGTTCCGCTGTTGAGTCTTGGTTCCTCTCAAGGTTTCCTCGTCACTGTTGCTATTGGCTTGCTCCTGGGAGCCAGTAATATATGAAAAAAGTTGGGATCATGGACATTGTGTCCAGGAGTGAAAAAGCTACTCCTGGACAATAAAACCTGAACACTCCAGGGAAATCCTGGATCGGTGGCAACCCTAAACACCATCTACATCTACGAAGCAGAGCTACAAGCACAAACTAAATTCTAATGGCTAAAAACTAATAACTCCCTACATCAGCGAACTAAACCATACCCGTGTTAGTGAAACCACTACAAATACTTAACTAATAAGGATCATACAGGCCTTAACAACAATTAGTAGACACTTCATTCACACACGAAACAGCAGATAATAAACAAATGAAATGTGTCATTTGCAGCATGCAAAAAGGGCCAGAGTGAAATGCCTTGTTCTCCAAGGCACTTTCATGCAAATTATAATAAATAAAAGGACAAACCCAAACTACTAGAATGTTTACCAAATGGTGGATGTTGTAAATGTCCCACTCGAATACAATATTAACATGCCATGTAGAGGTAAATTTGTAAATATTTATACAGCCATCACTGTATAAATACACCTGGTCACAAGCTTATCCATGATACATCAGCATATCTACATTAGGAACATAGCTCTAACCAGATGCCTAGTTTTGAACATTTACAAAAGGTTTTGACAAAAGACAAGAAATGAAGAGGGTCTGAGATTCAGCATCCTTGACACTATGTCCTTAGTTCAAACTAAACTCGATGGAACTATTTACACCATTCTACTTTGTCAGTTGACACAGATATGAATGTGCTTTTGGTTGTTTTGAGTCTTTTGTGCTATTATTGTATTCCCTGTGGGAGTGCACTTCTAATGTATATTTATTGAGTTAAGTGCAGCGATGCATCTCCTCTTCTACATCGTTTCACCTGGAGGAGGTAGCTGTTGCACATCAATTACCTTACTAATCAGCGCTGCCACACAAAAGAAGTCTTAGCATGAATTTATTATAGTAAGCATAAGCATTTACATACACTGCACTTTCCGTTCAGTACACTGATGCTTACTCAGTGGCAAGTGTATACATGATTCTTGAATTCCAATTGACAACTAAAATATCTACATTTTACCAGTACTGTGGCCTGCCATTTTCCAAAATCACTCTGTGCCAGTGACTGCTTATGTGAGATTTTTATAACTAGCACTATGGAGTAGTAAAAATCCTCATAGACATATATTGAACCATATTATTTGAGTTTGTCTGGTGTAAATGCTATTTTTACCACTTGTTTTAGAAAATATGTATTATAAACATCTGTTCTTTCTTTTATAAATTCTTAAAGGACAGTGTCTTATATGTACATATAGTATATGCTGCTACCATATATAGTATGTGTGTTATTGTACGGTGTTATTGACAGTGAAGTTCAATATTTTTCAATTAATTATTTTTTCTTCCTCTCCCCTCTTTCATCCCTTTGCTATCTGTCTTTGGCGCCGTCTGATGTGTTTCTCGGCATGTAGTCCAGCCCCACATCACTAAGCTGAGGAACGTGACAGCAGTGGAAGGCAGTGCTGCTATGATCTCCTGTAAGGCTGAGGGTGAACCACTTCCTGAGATTTCCTGGAGGAGAGCCAGTGATGGACACAGCTTTTCAGATGGAGACAAGGTACCACACAATGCACAAAAACTCAAAAAGGGAGAAGTTGAACTGAGATTTTGATTGAAAAACCTCGCTTTTGTTCATCATTGCTTATGTTTTGTTTGTTTATTAAAAACAGATTTAGCTTTGCTTCAGTTTATATAAAGAATTTAACCAGCACTTATAGTACGGATACTTTTTTGGTACTTTTTATTTTGCAAATTTGCTTATTGCCAGACAAACTACATTTTAAGTTGAGCAACAAAATATTTTATACATTGCATATCCTTCTGGACCAGCCACTGTATAACAGCCTAATACCTGCACTAATCTGACACAGCTGACCAATGTTAATTCATCCTGGTACTAACACCTACAAAAATATAATGTAGGCTTGAGTGATACAAGCATGCAAAAGACAAGCGTGAGTAATCGTGTTATATTCATTGCATCAGAGTATATTTGCTGTGTGCACCCACACAATGCCATATATTTGGCTCAACTGTATTGCAAATCCTGTTCCTTTCCAGTTGTTAAAAAAAAAGCATGACATTTGATTGATGCACGTACTGTTTACTGTGTGAGCTGTAGTCCCTGGAAATATACCAATCACAGTCACGGTTGTTAGAGTTCGTTGCAGCTTTCAATGAAGTCCCGTGGAGTGTTCACAGCATGTGCTGAGAAGTTTCTGTGAGATAACGTTTCACAGTCCTGTGTTGTGCTGAATCAGAATGGACCTTGCACAATGGCTAATGCAACAGGGACAGCCAGTCCAGAAACATGACAAGAGGAGGAGCTGTCAAAGATCATTAGAATGCCATGAATGCCACAGCTGTTAGGCAGCAACAATGGAGGCAAACCGAGTTGCTTTTCAGAGGAGAGGCCTATGGACTTCTCACAGGGGGCATGAAAGTCCTCCCCGCTGCTGTTAATTTAGTGGCGACTGCTCGGCAAGCGATTAAAACGGTCTGCCTGACCAGAAAGTTAAAGAGGACTCAAGCAGAGATGTGTAGGAGAGAAGAGGCACTTCCAGTCACTTAGAATAAGTACAGCAGAGTGTGATGTAAGATACAGGAATGGATGGTTCATCCAAGACCAGGAAAACAGCAGGTAGGCCTTGTAATTTGCACAGAAGTTCACTTTTGATGCCCTAAAAACCTGTGTTTTGAGAAACATTTGTGCTGGACATGCGAGTGTGAGGAACCTTTATTAAATTTGACATTTTTAAAGAAACTTAACATACTGTAAAAGTGATAATAAGAACCCTTAAATTGGTATAAAACCTTTACTTTAGGTGAAGGTTCTTCAAAAATGGCAAAAGCAGTTCTTAGCGCTTCATTTATCAAACAATTCTTCAAAACTGCTAACTGAAATGTTTAGGAAACCAAAAGAGGTTCTTATATGCCCCAAAAAAAAAAGAAAAAACAACACAAACACACAACCACTTCTTTGTGGCCTTATTATTTATTTTTTAGTTTTTTTTTTTTTTAAAGTTTTGCTTCTGTAGCTAATCAGGAATGACCTCCCTCTATGTTGCTTCCAATTTCTGATGGTTTAACAGAAATTGTTTTAAAAAATTGAAGTGCCACAAAGGGTTTTTTGCCATGAAAGAGCCACTTTTGGTTCCCTAAAGAATGTTTAATTAGCAGTTTGATTAGCAGATGTTTTAAAACCACAAAAACACATTTTTACCATTTTTAAAGTTTTAAAGAATCTCCACATAAATGTAAAGGTTCTAAATTAAAATTATATCTTCCTACAGTATAAAAAATTGTTGCCACTTGATAGAATACCATCATTTAAAAAGTGCTACACACAAAATGAGCAGACTGAGACCCCCTGAGGAGGTTGAGCTCTGTCAGCTTCACCACAAACTATGGTGTGGTTTCTTTGAAATACGAAACCAATACTGACCAATGATGTCTAAATAGACCAGAACACAGAATGAACCACTGTCTCTGCCCCACATACCTTTTTTGGTATGTGCAAAAGATGGTTTGTGGATGCTGTTTTGACATGCACAGAGTTGGTAATTGCAGAATGGATAGTCACGGTTTTAAAATGAGACAGGCATTCAAAGCCATTACATGTAATGCATGTTACACACACACACACACACACACACACACACACACACACACACACACGCACACACACACACACACACACACACACACACACACACACACACACACACACACACACACACCTTGCATTCATGTGAAATTTTCACCGTTTTATAAGCAGTAATCTGCTCAAGGCCATGTATTGCAGTGATTTTATTTTGCTTCACATGTAAAGCACTGCCTTGCAAGATGTACATAAAAGACATACATAAAACCCATGAGTTGAGTTATACTACAGTACATAATGGTTCAGTGGCTTTTATTCCAAATGTTATCATCAAATGTGTCAGTTTCTATAAATCTGCCTAAATCAGACGTGTCTCGGTACGTATGTGTTTTTTTTGGTTTGATGTCAAATATGTCAGTGTGAAAGCTAAGAGATTCAGAACTAAGGGTGCTTTCACACCCACCTTGCTTGGTCCAGACTAATCAAAATTGGTTTAGTTTTGTCCATTTTGACAGATTTGAACACTCCACTCACTCAGATACTCCACCAAAATCCGTGGGTCTTGGTCCGCTTACAAGTGAACCCTGGTTCAGTTTGCTGAAAGTGGGAACCATTTTTTGTGATGGCTCACAACAAATGAGGGAATTCAACATCAGAGCATGCTGTTTTCTTCTAGCAACATGTCAATACTGCCTGCATGAATTTTTTACACTCTACAGACGCTCTTGAAGCTTGTTCTTGAAGCATGTGCTGCTGCTAATGAGCAATAAAATAATCATTTGATTGTGTCAGACATCAATGACTTTAATGCACCCTAATAGGTAGGATTATACATTTTATCAAGAATATTTGAAGGCTAGATCTGGATTTCATACCATGATAAGCTAATGAATGTCCTAATAAAAATGTGCACTAATGGTGGCAAACATGAAAGTAATAGCATGCATCCCTGCCAAATTCCTGACCAATCAAAGAAAACCTGTCTATATAGTTTTGTGCACTTAGCCAACGCCATGTGAAAGATACAGTGTCAGAAAAACTGTCTGGTGCAGATTTTAGCAAACAAAAAAAAGCCTAAAATACATTGTTTTATAATTTCCTGCTTTGGTCCAGACCCAGAAAACCAAACTACAAATATAAAACACACCCAAGGAGTGTCTTAACAGTTCAGTGTTGTGGTATTTTATCTCTCCTCCACTTTCCTGAAGCCTCCTTCTCTATCTTACCATGTCATTACTAATCAAGCAAATTGCTGTTTTTCAAGAGACTTCATGACTTCTGAAAGGTGCTCAAATGTAACTTCACTGTGGTTGCCTTGTTCGCACAACATCTTCGCAAAAACCAATATACTGCATCAGTGGAAGTTGGTGGTGCATATATCATACAGAGTGTAGGCAGGAAATGACTGAGATTAATGGATGTGTGTGAAAAGGTGCGAATGATGAGAGGAAGACAGCTTTCATAACTGTCACTGTGCCTAACCTCCATTAACTCAATCTCACTAATCAAATATGACAACACACTTGGCTACTTACTATATCATACATACCTCAGAAGACAGCATTTCTAAATGTGGATTTAATTTGAGTGAATGAAATGATACATGTTGTAAAAACAGTAACCTATGGAATTCTTGCGGATATGCCTGTCTGTGCATGCTTGTTTGGCTCAAGCTAAAATGTTCATTAAAAGTTATCAATTTTTTTAAACTCAGGACAAAAGGCGGAAAACATGTAACAGTAAATTACACTGAAGCCTCAACAACTAAATATATATCAGTATTTAGCATGTTCACCCTTTGCCTTCCATTCTTTTCTGGAAACTTGCCTTCAGTTTTTCAATCTCCAGGGTTATTTTTCCCACACCTCCAAAGTTCAGTCTTAGAAGTTGGTTACACACTGTTTTTACAATCCAAGTAATCCCAAACACATTCAGGAATCTTAAGGTCCATTGTCCTGATATCACCAGTAGCTTCTTCGTTTGATCTGTACATTTTCCATTTTGTCCATGTCCTTTTCTCAGTGACAGCTTCTTGACAGTTACACATCCTTTCAGATCTGAAGTAAGAGTGGAGCTTGATTTTCTCCTCTTTCTCAAAATGTGAAAGCTTCTGGTGGTTGTTAGGAGTTTCATTTACTCTATATCTTTTAATGTATATTAAAATAAGGGTGGTCTTTTGCACAGTACTGTAGATTTTACGGTCTCTTTAGAATTATATTTGTCTTTTTGTAGTTTGCATGGTTAAGATGTGTAAACAAACAAAAAGTAATTCAAAAGAGCTTTAGGGCAGCATAGATATTTAATCCAGTGGGAGATTGTATTGGATTATGCCAGGCTATCACAATGCTAATATGGTTTTACAGTTTCAATTTCATAGTCATTAGTGTCAGCACCATGTTTGTTTTCTTGCTAATCCTCAGCTGGAATTTCAGTCTTGGGTGTGAAATTTTGAGCACTTTTCTGTATTTGTCTCTTTGAAGTTCAAAGAGTCTGTGTTAAAGGATGCTTACTGTCAGCTTTTGGCTAAATTTCACTTCCCTGCTTAAGAAAAAAAAATGGTAATAAGAACCTTGCTGTACTATTTTTTGCAACTTTGTGATATTTGATATCACTTGGCATTCTGTATTCAGCTTTGAAATTAATTTCCAGCATTCATGTGACTGATAGTCACCAGTACTGTGTGTATGTGTTTTCAGAGTCCAGACGGGCGTGTGGAGGTGCGTGGGCGTCATGGTGAGTCCATGCTGACCATCGTGGGCGTGGGGCTGTCTGATTGGGGCCGTTTTGACTGTGAGGCTCTCAGCAGGATTGGAGGACATCAGAAGAGCATGTTCCTGGATATTGAGTGTGAGTGTGTATTATTACTCATAGAAACCTCCCACACATGCGCATGCACACATACACACACAAACTCAGATACAGCATCTCCTATAATCACATCAGCAGGAGAGGAAAACCAAATATCAATCCTTCTCCCAAACTTGTTTACAATGTAATGGAGCTTGTGGTTCATACTGTACATCGTTTTTAGTGAGTCTAGAATCCAATCTCAAGTCTGGAGTTCAGGAGTATTTGTTGGTATTTCCTGAATATAGACTTGAAGCCATGAGACAATACAGGGCAACCAAACAGAACAGAGCTCATTTACATATATCAGTCTTAAAAGGCACAGTAAAACAGACTTTAATTTTGAGGAGTAAAGCAACCTTAAAAAATGGTCATAGCACAACATATGGCTGTTTTTGGTATAGGACAAAACCAAAATGCAAGAAAAGTCTGGGATATGGCCTTTGAGAACCATTTTGAAAAAAAACAGGCCTACAAAAACAATATAAATCTTGCTGAACTGGATAGCTAAGGGAATCAGTATTTGAGATTTTGCTGAGATGTACATTAACCGTACATCACTCACAACTGCTGTCACGGTTTGGTGATGTGTCTCTATATTCTATCACCTCATCTCCACCATGAAGTGACAGCAGATTAGCAATTCAGTAGGAACAGCAGGGGGGCTTTAATAAAGGCTTCCCAATGGGGCGCAGTGCAGAGAACAATCCAGCGGTGGCGCTAATGAATTCATCCATTCAGTCCACTGCCTATAGTGATATGACACACGGGACATCAATCTCTTTAATGGAGAAAGTGTAAGTCTGTGTGTGCGCACGGGCATGTGTGCGCGAGTTTAGGTATGTGCTAGTCTGTCATAGAGATAAAGACAGAAAAAGATGCAGTAAAAGGCCAAAAATAAAAGAGAAATCAGGAAAGATAGCAGGGGGTGTAGTTTGTGCAGGTTGTTTTGGTAAATTGCACTCAAACTGCAAGACATGCTGGTTGCCACAGATTATTCAGTTTGACTGGGAGCCCATACACGCAGCTGCAAATGCATTCCCAGATGCGGCTTTCAGTTAGTACAAGTGTGTATGCAGACGCACCCCCATCTGCGACAGCCACAGCTCAGTCTGTTATCCTCTCCCCATAGTCCTACCCATGCCAGTGAGCAATTAGCTTGTATTAACATTTCTGCTTACAGCTAAAACACAGACAGCTGATTTCAGAACTGTTATTTAGGCTAGTCCATATAGTCTGGCTGTTTGTGCTACAGGGAGTAAATAGTTTTTAGATGTAAAGCACCTCATTGACCTGACCACACAGTCATTCACTGCAAATTAGCAAGATTTCCCACAAGGGGGAGCACTCAAGTAGCTTTTTTGTTTGCAGTGATTGAAGTGTGCATTATTGAAAGAAAGGAAACTGGCATAAAACACACATCAGCAGTATCTCCCACTGGAAAAGAAGGGTACCCTCAGAGTTCCTTTCCACTCCACCCTTGGCCTCAGGGAAATCCCAGCAATCAACTTCACTGGAATTCTGAGAGGAAAGTCCAACCAGCAGCCCCTCAAACCTTCAAAATGTCTCCCTACTCCCTATATAGTGCACTACATAAAAGTCACAATAATGTGGCTTTTACGATCAAATAGTGCACTAAATGTCCAATATGGCAGCCCACGAAGACGACCATCATTTCATGACTTATGCAGTGCACTATACAGGGAGTTAAGGAGCCATTTGAGATTTAGCCTACAAAACCAGATGTCAGACACTGCCATGTTCTAACATACAGTTTGATTTTCACAACACCATGGCAGAGAGCTAAACCTAGAGCTGACTGCACAAGACATCTTTTCACCTTGCAACACTTTACTAATAAATTATTGCTACTACACACTTCACTTCATGGTTAGGATGATCAAAACAAAGCTTTCAGTTGCCCAACCAACAAAGCAAGTATAACCCCACACCTAAAAATTAAATTAAACCAGCAGCAGGAAATGCAGTTATTCAGTCAACAATTAGGTTTTCTCCTTGGGCCCACCCCAGTCCAAACATTTGTATATCTTTCATATCACAAATAAACATGTTTGCAGCCCTTTTTCCAGCATAAAAGAGAGAGAGTATCAATGACAGAAAGGGAAATGTCCAGTCTTAAACAGAGAAACAGGGATGTGGCGACCCCCAAAAGAAAGTAACCCACAACCTTACTGTTAGTAGTTTTCAATCCACTGAAGGAAGTGTTTGGTCAAACCTTGTGTTTTCATGTTCCAATGATCATTCCTTGATGCAGATTCTCAGGAGAAACAAAACTTGTTCACAATGATTTGAAACAGGTCAAAAGCACAGCTGTTTTCATTTTGGGCTTTTTTTTAGTTTTGCCACCAATCAACTCCTTAATGCTCTCCACCTGGCTCACCAATTTCCCAGGTGTCAAAAAAAAGTCCTTTTTGACCATTATTTTTAGGCCTGGTTTCAGTCTTATAACAAAAAATATACAGAAATATACAAAGTCACTTTACCTACAAAAGCATACATTTTTGCCTACCCTTGTAGCTGAGAGATATGCTAGTCCTTACTCCATGTTTGTAACTGTTTCCTAATTGTTAGCACTCCACTGTCTTCAAATAGTGAGTACTCATGTTACACATATTTGACACAGTTCAGAACAGTGGAGGAGACTTCAACAATAGAAAGAAATGAAGTTGAGATCTGAATGCATATATATTTACAGACCCAATTTGCATGTACAGTCATATGCAAAAGTTTGACCCTGGTAAAATAACACTTTTTGTTGATTTTCTAAGTAAAAATAAGTTAACGCATCCTCTACAGAGAACACCCTTCTGCACATTTTAATACTGTTTATTTGCTGAATTTAACATATTTGAAAAAAAGAAGACATAAAATGTGCAAACATTATGGCACAATTCATATTTGATGTTTTATTTTTTCCACTATTTTAAGCTCAGCAAATTAATAGATATTGTGCATTAAAATGAACAGAACAAAAATGTCATATTTAATTTTGCTCTCTGTAGAGGACATTTGAACTGATTTTCTTTTTAAAAGATCAACAAAACAAATAATTTGACCGGGGGGGTGGGGGGTGGGGGGAAGTTCAAACTTTTGCATAAGACTGTACATGAAATGCAAGACCCAAAACCATAATAAACACACTCTACATAAATACAATAAATTTACTGATATGAAAAACATTCAATCAACCAGAAAAATACCAGCCTATTTTGACTAGGTTGTGGAGGTGACCACAGGGCAAAAAGCACCAGGGGTGCTATGGACGAGTCCCATCAGTAACACTGTGTGTCCTTGTTCTCTTAACAGATGCACCTAAGTTCCAGACCAATCACACTATCTTTTTCTCATGGGAGGGAAATCCGGTCAACATCAGCTGTGACGTCATGTCCAACCCACCGGCTACCATGCTGTGGAGACGGGAGAAGCTGACCATTCCCACAGAAGGCACGGCCAACATGCGCGTGCATAACGCCCCCGGCAGGTCCCTACTGGAGGTAAGCTAGTCTCCACTCACCTGTTAACCAAAACATCACAATATTTGCAATCATTTTGTCAGTCATGGAAGGCAATTCTAAAATATAGTTTATCATGTATATTTGTTTCAAGCTTATACATCAGTATACAGAAAAGAAGGCTCTACATTATCCTACACAAAATACAACACAGTTAAAAGTTCAGCTGTCCGAGGGCGTTTATGCTTTGTCCGCTAATCTGCAGTTCTTAATATCTTTAGTTTGCAAACAATTTGTTTAAACATAGTTTCTGTAGGTATCTGATATCATGATTACTACCACCACAGTCTGTTGGTCTATTCTTTAAGTCAAGGCACACCTTATGTATGGGCCAACACAGCTCTGCCTGAGAAATCCATTTGAAACCTGCTGTTCTGACTCTGCTCTCATCGCTTCAGGTCACTCCCACGTCAGACCGGGATTTTGGCCGCTACAACTGTACAGCCAGGAATAACATTGGCATGCGCTTCCAAGAGTTCATCTTGGCTCAGGCAGGTGAGTGCTCTGCTTCCCTCCACCAGCCACAGGGTCCTATTCACCAGCCTCTGGAGTGCCATGTAGTAGTCAATTGTCAATTGTAAGAGTAATTAAGAGAGCAGCTTGCTTAGCATCACTGTCATAAGAAAATTTTAAAAGTAACTATAAATGTAACTTTATAGGAGAGGAAAAACATGTTCTTAATATTTGCTAACAAAAAACTTGAAATATATTTTAAAAAATTGTATTGATCCATGGTGTTAAAAAATAACAGAGAAAATGCAGAAATGCCTCTGTTGTTGTTAGTAATATAATGAATAGTCATGTTACTATATAAAGAATAGTCAGATAATACTGTTATGTGTAGATTTGATGCAGTGATCTTTCTCAGGTCTCAATCCTTAATCAAAGCGTCACATACCTTGTGTCAACATTTCCAAATAGCTGTTTGCCAAGAATCTCCAACTCATATCAGATTTGTCAAAATGCAAATATGTGGTTATTTTCTTACTAGTGCCAAAATCTAAGCCCAGTCGCAAAGAAAATTAATGTACACTGAAGTATTTTTGAGATTCTTCTTGCATTAGGAACACAAAGTTCCCAGCTTCTAGACATAGTACACATTTGGTCTTACATTTAGATTCTTTAAATCCATATCCAGATAGAGTTAGTGTTTAAAACCTGAGAGAAATTAGCTTAAAGATGTTCATCAGCTCTTTTACTCTTTAATATTGTTCACCAAATGTACTCAAGTCTCCTCTTTAATTTGCTCAGTAGAGCAAAAGTTGCAGTATCCTGTAATACTCTTCCTTGTCAATAAAATTAGCTTATAGCATGCAAAATGCATTTTCAGTCAGTTCACCTTGATAAAGCAGGGCACAAAAATTTTGAAGGGTCCATCATATGGAAAACTAAATTTCCTTTTGCTATAAAAATTAGGGTGTAAACATTGTTAAAGACTCCACAGTCCACACAGTCTGTATATTCATATATACTGACCAACCACTTTATTAAGTCCTTGTTTCTACACTCTTTGTCCATTTTATCAGCTCCACTTACTATATAGGTGCACTTTGTAGTTCTACAATTACAGACAGTAGTCCATCTGTTTCTCTGCATAATTTATTAGCTAATTTTACCCTGTTCTTCAGTGGTCAGGACCTCCACAGGACCACCATAGAGCAAGTATTAATTGGGTCGTAGATCACTCACAGCACTGCAGTGACATTGATGTGGTGGTGGTGTGTTAGTGTGTGTTGCACTGGTACGAGTGGATCAGACACAGCATTGCTGCTGGAGTTTTTTAAACACTGTGTCCACTCACTGTCCACTCTATTAGACACACTTAGCTTGTTGGTCCACCTTGTAGATGTAAAGTCAGAGACAGTAGCCCATCTGTTGCTCCACAGTTTGTGTTGCTCATCCTCCAGCCCTTCATCAGTGGTCACGGGACGCTGCCCACAGGACGCTGGCGAAATATTTTTGGTTGGTGGATTATTCTTAGCAGTGACACTGAGGTGTTTAAAAACTCCAGCAGCACTGCTGTGACTGATCCACTTGTACCAGCACAACACACACTAACACACTACATTAGTGTCACTGCAGTGCTGAGAATGATCCACCACCCAAATAATACCTGCCCTGTGGTGGTCCTAGTTTGTTATTGTGGAACTACAAAGTGCACCTGTATGGTCAGTGAAGCTGATAAAATGAACAGTGAGTGTAAATGCAAGGAGGTGTGTGTAATAAAGTAGCCAATCAGTGTATATATTCCATATAAACTAAGCTGCAGCCCACTTTTAATTCATTATTTTTGTGTTGTCATTAAACCAGCACATTTACACGTATCTACATATTCAGCTTACAGCAGTTTTGCTCTGCTAACTCTTGTTGAAGTTATGTGCTGTGTTTGATCCTGGACTGCTTTTTCTATGAGGCCCAATACAGAGCATCCAATCAGAACAGAGCTCAGTTACATATAACAGTCTTAAAATCACTGTAACAAAAAAACAGCCTTTTTAATTCCAAGGGATAAAGACAGGCTGAAAATGATCATGTAAAAATGAATTGGTATAAAAAACCCACTCAAATGTTATAAGTGAACTGCAGAGGGTAAAGAAAAGTATGGGATACTGGCCCTTTAGAATCTTTTTTGTGATATTGTGGAAATATGAATTTTCAAATTATATTTTCTCCAAAAAAAAAAAAGTCCATATAGTCTATATATGCTGCAGACACAGCCTGTTTTGAATTCATTATGGTTATCATGTCACAACCATTTACACTACGGCAGTTTAGCCCACCTATTCTCAACCAAGTGACGAGTGTTGTCACTGCAGACCGTTTGTAGCAGAGTTATTGTAGTAGGAGATGTGAGAGAGAACGATTAAGAGGTGTGCTGTTCCTGGCTGTCGGGAAGAAAATGCATCACCACAGCCTCCCAAATGACCTAGACATCTGAACGGGGTGGCTGGAGATTTTTTTTTTCCTGATGTCCCTGAGGATTTCAGAACATGTTGTTCTGTACATTTCAATCAGCCAGGACTGATTTTTTGGAAAGAGGCACAGTATAGGGCAGCCAATCAGAACAGAACTCATTTACATACATTTGTATGCAAACATACAGGGAACAAGCTTAAATATGGCATTCCCGCTCAGCATGTTAGAGTTTTGAATCTCAGTGGGTGAATGTTGTTACTGCGGCACACATAAGCAATCTGATTGGACACCACCCAACTAATTTACATAAAGTTGCATAAAGAGAAATCAGGGTGTGCATCAGCACTTTGACTTGTCTGTTATGTGTGTATATTGTCATGGCTCGCTCTGTTATCTTACGTTATGATGCATTCAGTTTGATGAAAAAGGCAAATCATTTTGCTTGATATCACCATTCATGTCACATATGCACTGCGTAAAATCTCTGCACCCCCAACTTAAAACGCATCCCTGGTACACACACACATACATGATATAGGATAAGTTGTTTTAAACAGTGAGAAGACACTGTGTGTATTTTCATGGAGGTTCAGCCTCTCCCTGATAACACACACCAGCAGACACTCTGAAGAGCCAGTTCATTAACATTCCACAATAACACCTCCCAGTCCACTCCATCTGCCTCTCTCTCTCTGCTTCTCTTCCTTTCTCCCTGTCTCACTCTCTCTCTGCCTCTCTCACACTCTCTGCCTCTTTCCATCTCTGTCACTTCACTAAGTCACACACAAACACACACACTCTGTTACTCTCTCTCGCTTTCACTAACACCCATTTAATTTCTTTCTCCTATGACTCTCTCACTTACCATCTCTTTCTTCATCATTCGTCCATGTCCCCCCCCCCATATCACTCTGTCTCTCTTCCTCTCTATCTCTCTCTCTCTCTCTCTCTCTCTCGCCCCTATGGAGGTTTGTGTTTGTAATTCAGCTCAGGACGTCTCTTCTTGCTCTGCTGGGGAAAATGAAGGGAGAGATCCTGAAGGAGATTGTGACTGGCAGACAGATACCTGAATGAAAACTCTTTTACTGCCTCTATAAGGACAAGTTTACTACAATTGCAGCTGCTTTAAAAGGATATAATACTAAACAAGCTGAACAGTGTCGTTTTGAACATATTTGAGTTTTTTATTGATTTCAAGTGGAGGTTACACAAAAAACAGGATGCAAATTCCAGGGAGGTTTGGGGTGGGATAACCTCTTTTAATTAAAACTCCCAAATAGTCCAAGATGTGTTTGGGGGCGGTCTTAAAAATGTTAAATAATTATGTATATGCATAGGATCCCTTTACAATCACCACTATCTAAAACTATCCACAGAGAGAGTAATATATTTTTAAAAATGTTTCAGAACTACCGGATAAAGTACATTTCCATTTCTTTTTGAAAAACAGAGAAAAACAGCTAACCTGCATTATCATGACCAACACAATTTTGCAAAGTGTTTTTAATGAAGGATGTCTTTTAGGATACAACTAAAGGATGGAAAGATGCAACTAAACGAGCAAAAATGTCTTTTGTTACTGAGCCGCCTATGTAGTAGCAAATACATGCATAAGCACTGAACAAGTTTTTTAAAAAAACAATACTTGAGTTTTTCTGAACAACTTATGTTAGTAGTTGCAAGATGACAGCATGTTTTATAAAGTAAATTATATTATATCAACATTGAACTGCCATATTGCCCTGAAAGAATTATGCTTCATAAGACTTTAGTATGAGGGACCTTTAGTATGAGGTAATCATATATATGTTTACAGCATATATTAGGAGTGGGCTTCACACATAGTTCCTCTCAGTTTCTTGAGCACTTTTGTCTATTCAGAAGTCATATTCTGAAAACAGTCAATACAGAACCTTGATGGCCAAAATAACACAGTTTCTTTACAAAATGGTCAAACCTCCACAAAACACTAAACACACCACACCAAAGTTAGGCTAATATTTTACTCTAAATAATTTTGCAATGTGGCAAAGTGCAAGAATATCACAATGTGAAACTTCTTTTCTCCCGGATAGATTTACTAGAGAAACATTTCAGTGCAATGAACTGTACACACCTAATAGAAATAGAAAGATTTCACCCAAAGCATAATAAAAATATATTTATATATCTCATTTATATGTATATTATAAAATAAATTTATATTTCTCATTTTTTTCTTTGTTTGCTTGTTTGTTTACTTTCTGTATTCCTGAAAGACAGGTGTGAGTGGTGGAAAACAGTACTGGCCCAAATGAGGCCCTGTGCCTGAGTATTTGTCAGTAGAGTGATAGGCTGTATCAGAGGAGCACAAACATAATTTCTAGTGAAATTCAGAAACAACTGCAGACCAGATCGTCAATCATAGCTTGTCCATAAAGAAGGTGTAAGATGCTCCAACCCGAATCCCCAAATCATCTTTACTCAATAACAGAATTACCTTTCACACATCTCTCTGCTGACAAATACTGTCTCCAGACTCCTGTTTGACATTGTTTGGGACATTTTTGCTTTCCACTATTCTCAGTTTGCCTGTGAGTTTGGGAAAAACTCAATAGCAGAAACAAATATTTCTGAATATCTAAGATAAATTTTATGTGTATATATATATATATATATATATATATATATATATATATGGTGGATGAGGGTGCACAGTAAATTGCATTGATTGCATTTTCCATGTATCTCTAATTTGAATGAATCATCTTTTTCACAATCTGAATAGAAGAGTCTTTTATGTAAATCAGTTTTCTTTAATGACAGTTTTACCTGGCACCTATTCGTCATATGATTAAAATTGTCTACAACCTTTTCTATTCATCCATATATAGTCAGAAACTGATTGAGTTAACAATAGGGTACTATGGAGTTCGCACAAGTGCTGAAGGTAGATATGAGTATGAGACTATTTTCTATAAGCTGTCACTACATATTTTCATTATGTTTTGCACAATTATCCAATGAATGTGTTTTTCTGAGGTAAAATGTCTTGTAAAAGTATGTGATAAATGAGTGAAAGCAATCAGAATGCATTAACACATTTGCAAAAAAAGAGACTTTGCTGAGAAAGTGACAGTGAAGATTAAGCCAACTACAGTTTCATTAAATGTGTTTTAGCAACTGTAATACCACATTTATCAGGGAAATAAAAATGTGTTTTAAAAATCACCTGTTATTTATAACCCCTCATATCCAAAATTGTGTACAAATGTATAGTGTGTGTGTGTGTATATATATATGTATAATTAGAATGATTGACTTTTTTCTGTGTCTGTTTCAGACGTTCCCTCAAATCCCTACTCTGTGCGCCTCAGCTCTGTGGCCCAGCGCACAGCTACAGTTACCTTCATGAAGCCAGACTCCCATGGTGGCGTTCCCATTGACCATTACCTGGTCAGATACAAAGACATCAGTTCACACGACTGGAGGGACGTCAAATCACATGGAACACAGAGTGAGTGCAACATCCACTGTTCCTAGCCTCAGCATTGGGTATGAAGAATCCAAACCCGCCACAAACCAGGGAGCGTTATGTCTGGAGAATTGAAGTTTATTCTTGCGCGCAGGTACCAGACACCAAGCAGCCCATAAAACAATGGACTGATGCGGTTTTATAGCTGGACTGATACCAAGATTAGGTCCAGCCTATACGTGACAAGTGACAGGTGTGACAGACATGACCATGTACAGATAAACAAAAACAGGAAAAACAGAATGTTCCATGTACAATCACAGTACAGGCTCACACAATGCTGAATATGATGACATATAACACACATTACAGGGCTATACATTCCTTCAGGTAGAATGGAAATATATGATCAAATATACACATATTCTTTTTACTGTTCCTCTTTATATTCAGGCGACGTGTGAAAAAGTGTTCATTTCCTCCTTTTTATTGATTTGTAAATGGAAACCCTCACATTTATAGCAGAGTACAATCTCGCAAACGAAGCCTGTTAGATTCCCTCCCGTTTTCCTCCCTTATGTCAGATTGTTTTATTGTGTTGGATGTGACATTATGACACACATCAGATTAGACGGTCTGAAACCATTTCTGCAAGTATCGATGAGTCTACCAGAGTCTACCTTATAGCAAAGACAGAAATTAAAAACACATAAAAATACTGATAAAAGAAAGTGAAGAAAGGAGCAGGGTTTTTTCAGACACATGTACACTAGGGCTGCAACTAAAGATTATTTCTGTAATTAGTAAATCTTTATATTTTTTTAGATTAATTTACTAATCTAATGATTATGTTTCTGTTTCATTGACAGATACATTTAAATAATAATATGTAAATTATTCTAAATTTAAAATAGAACACTTTAAATTAAAATAAAGGCATAAAAGTGAATTTGAAATTCACCATTAAAATATTAAATTGCTTTTGTTTATTTGACATATTTATTTCTCAGTTAAAATTGTTGTGGAATCAAAAGTATATTTGAATACAATAAAATTATAAAGGGTTAAAAAAGGAAAAAAAATCCAAAGTCTCCAGACAGTTAAACATAAAATAGGTGTTAAATAACTTTATATTACTTCTTCTTTTATTATTCAATGGCTATTTTTATTTTTCTTATCTAACATCTTTCCTGTTCTCTCAATTTTAGTACACTTTAAAATTTTTGTGACTGCTTGTATGATTTTTATTGAGTCATGTCTTAAATGTCTAGGCTACATCTTATATATCACTGGCTAAAGGTTTCTTTGTTAAATAATACTAAGTTTTTGACTGGAATGTTTGTGATTTTATGACTTGTATATTTTTACTGATTTAACGTTTAAATGCACACAATTTTATCTTGAATGCATTCTAAAACATTTAATTTCTTCATGTGCTATTTTTATTTTTATTATATGTTCAGCATTACTATTGAACTGCTCCCTCAGTATGACATTAATTTTACTACAATGTACTTGAACTTGAATGTTTACCCACTTGCAGCAGCATCAGAAGATGTGTTGTAACTCGGGCACTTTAGTTTTAGTTTAATTTTATGATCAATGTTATTTGTAACTTTTTAAATAGTAAATAAGTGTTGATAAACCAAAATCACATCATTCACATCAATCGTTTTTATAATTAATCTAGTTGCAGGCTTAATGACAACACACCAAAACAACCTCTTCATCTTGCAGGAATGTGGACAGAGTAGAGTATGCACTGAAAAAAGTGGCTGAATTTACTCAGATGTGTCTATCAGTTCCACACAAATGACATATGTTACATGAATTTAGATTAAGTTAATTAAGTGCTTACGCATATTAATGATTTTGACAGACCATATTTCATTCATGTGGAGCCAATGAACAAATCTCAATCGAGTAAATTTAAGGCAACCTTTAGGCAACCTTTCAGTGTACCTGCCTCCTCCCAGCATCTCCACACAGAGGCAAACCAAACCAGGGGCACACACCACACACTCACACTACCATAAAAAGCCTGGTCAGTCTTGACCTCATGCTGGTGTTTGGGTGTGGCTGCCTGTAAAGGCTGGAATATAGGGCTCAAACTCTGAGAGTCTTCCCTGGCGCTGGCCGAGATTACAACGTTTCAAGATCACAAATTGATTTTTCCTCCACAACACCCAGAAGGGTTTGCTGGAACTTAAAGGACAAATCGGACAGCCAGATAAGCAAGCTTGACTACTTGAAGGGCCCAGAGCTAATATCCATAATGCTGAGAAAAGCTGGGGCTGGGGGGCATGATTGGGGAAAGCAGTAATTGGAAACCTTGGTCATGATTGAGGAAAGCAATAGGGACTTTGAAATAGGGACCTCCATCTATACTCATTTCATGTGTCTGGTGCACTCATCCTCTTGCTCTTTCTTCTCCCTTTCTCTATCTCTCTCTCTCTCCCCTGTTCTCTTCCCTTTCCCAGCGGTAGTGCTGCTCACTAACCTTGAGCCCAACACTACTTACGAGGTACGAGTGGCAGCCGTGAATGGAAAAGGCCAAGGCGAGTTCAGCCGCACAGAGAGCTTTCAGACGCTGCCCATCCGTGAGTGTGTAACCTTCACTGGAACTCCCAGCTACACAAAGTGCTTCATGTCAAACTCCTTCTTGTTACGTGATATGGCTTATCAAGAAGTCCATTGCTGTAGAACAGACTAGATTATTATGGTGATGTTCAGAAATGAAAACTGAAGCTAAAATCCAGGACACCACTAGGCTGAAAAATACAACCAAAACCAGACAAAATTTGCATCAATTATATCAGTTTATTTTAATTTATGCTCTGGAATAAATTAAAGAAATAAATGTAATAAAAAAATACTTTTACTGTAGAAAAGCCGGTCTATTATCCAAGGGCTGATACTGCATTTGGACAGTCCTCATTAGGTGGTAAAGTTGAATTAATGTCACAGTTGTATGCAAAAGCTTGGACACCCCTGGTCAAATTACATGTTTTGTTGATTTATGAAAATATGTTAACACAGCCTTTACAGAGAACACACTTCTGCACATTTTAATACACAATTGCTGTTTAGTTGATGAATTTAACATACTCGAAAAAATAAACATAAAATGTGACCTATTAAGAGCAAGAGTGAATTTCCATCACTTTTTTGAAATAAATAATATGCAAACATTGATACAATTTCAAAATGTACCATTCACTACCCAGACCATACAGTCCATATCTGGAAACTAAGCTGCAAAAATGGCCTGTTTTGAATTCACTGTTTCTGTGATGTCTTGAGAACCAACTCATTTACATACATCCGCCTATTCAGCCTACAGCAGTTCAGCTCAGCCAATTCACACTAAAGTTGTAAACAGAGTATTTTTGGAATGAGGCACAATACAGGACAGCCAGTCAAATCAGAGCTCCTTTATCTTATATCAGTCTTAAAGGCACAGTAACAAAATCAGCCTGATTAATTCTAAGGTATAAAGAGAGGTTGAAAAATGGCCATATGAAATTAATGATGACCAATTTTGGTACATAAAACCTCATAAATATAATAAGTGGACCTCAAGAGAAAAAATAAAATACAAGAAAAATGTAAGATATGGGCTCTTTAAGTTTGTTCCCTGTAGAAGATTTCTTAACTTATTTTTACTTACAAAATCAACATGTCATTTGGCCAAGGGTGTTCAAACTTTTGCATACAGCTGTACATTATCAATGATAACTACTAGTTTGCATCAGGATGTATGAACAATATGCCTGTCCAACGGAATTGACCAGTGGACCATCACTCATTGCAAAAAAGACAACTTGATCGACTGTATTCATGTGCCGTCAAAAAAGGGTAATGGCTGGTGATATATCAGCAAAAAGTTGTAATAATTAAGCTGACAAATTTAGGCAGATGTGTCGCTTGTTTGAAACTTTTTTTAGTAAACTCAAAAATTTACAAAATTAACAAGTTTATAAGGAATGTCTGAGTGCACCATGAAAATCAAGTAACAGAAGTTTAACCACTGTTTTTCACTCTCATTACCACTGAAATTATTTGTGATGTTGTATTTTGACACAATCTTAAATGCAAACAGCATTTTGATGAAAATGCCCACAAATTGTGCCTTCCTTTTTTTGTTGGCCAAAATTTTGGTGCATCCCTAGTAAACTCTTTATTGAACTGTTGGCGTTTTAAGCAGTACAATCTCTTCCCCAGGAGAGCCAAGTCCTCCTTCAGTGCAAGGCCAGCGAGGAGTGGGGAAGGCCTACAGGCTTGGCTTGGTCAAACAGGATGATGGAGGAATGCCAATCCTGGAGTACATCGTAAAATACAAAACAGTGAGTCATGAACTTTTATAGTTTTCACAGCTCTCTCATTCACATATTCATGCTTTACTCAGTTCATTACTTAATTAAACGCATAACCAAGGGCAAGTCATTTTGCCATTTTTAGTCCGCGTTTGATATGTTCCAAAAAAGCAGTTGTGATCTCGCCCTCTGGCTGAAATCTGGCAGCATTTTCATGAGAGCAAACCTGCGTGTGAGTGGGTGCTCCTGCTGAGGATTAGAGTGGTTAAAGTGTGTGTACTGTGTGGCTGACTCAGAGCAAGCATAGCTCTTCCTCCAGACACAGAGCTAAGAGCAGAGCGAGCTGTCAAAATTCTCTCTTTCTGTGCAAGTTGCAGCCTCTTGTTTCCACGCCAACGCAAATGAAGGCATATATGCAGAAGGCCGCTAATGCAGATGGGGGGAATCGGCTTTTGCTGATTTGCTTTTTTTTGGTGTCAGGAGACATGGACACTATGTATATATGCTTTGAAGTGTTCAGTCTGCAGTGGAATTGCTGCAGGTGGGTAGGAGGGAGGTGAGTTAGCGTGTGTGTGTGTGTGTTTGGGTTTATGTGTGTGCTATATCCTCTGTACATCTCCCTGTTATTCTCCAATTAGTCTCCAAAAGGTGAGCACTTCCTCTCCGTCAGTCATTTAAGTGATGTTGAAATCACTGTCAGTTTCATTCATCTCCATATAACACATCATCTGTCAGCACTTATTTATCTGATCTAGAACTGCCACATTTGCCTACACAGCCGGTGCCGTATCACTCCCCGCCGCAATGGAGCAATCTATCAAACGAGAGAATATGCAGACTTAATTGGGCTAATATGCAAATGTGAAAACTGTATATAGCTGTGAACATTTGGGAGTGAGAACTGATAAGTGTTTTTATTTCTGAAGCAGCAGTTTTTACAGTCGTGTTTAGAGTTACAAACAAGGGGGGTTGAATTATCTGTAAACATAAGATAATGTATGGGTACAGGGCTAATAAGAACCTGCACTGCTTTTTGCCTTCAGAGCCTCTCCAGTCCTTACTGCAGTATTATCATATATGAATATCAGTTCAAAAGCTGTTTGGCCAGTATGTGAAATGCAAATAAAAAGCAGTCCAGCTTGATCTGTATTTAAATAAGTGATGCAATAATGCACCTATGAAAGGAACACCCAGGAATGGCCTAGTCCTTATGAGCAAGGAAGGATCAAGGCTCACTACCACAATTGCTTCAGTGAAGAACAATGTTCCTCAATGAGTTGCTGCAAGGAATTTAGATATTTCATCTTCTGTGGTGCACAATATCATCAAATGATTCAAGGAGTACAGAGAAATCTCTGTGTGTAAAGGCAAACACTTAAAACTGCAACTAAATGGCATTGACCTTTGATCCCTCAGATGCCACTGCATTAAAAAACAGCATGCTTATGAGATGGAATCACCACATGGGCTTGGGAATACTTTGACAAACCATTGTCAGTAAACTCCATTTGTCAAGTTAAGACTGTACTATTCACAATGGAAAGCCATATGTCAACAATGTCCAAAAACACTGCTGACTTTTCCAGGCTAGAGCTCATCTGCAACACTGCAAACATGCACTGTGGTCTCATGATTTAATCATTCAGGGCCCAGTTTCCCAAAAGTTTCTTAGTATTAAGATAATCTTAACTGGTAGAGAACATATTTAGTGTGATGCACTACCATTTGAAAATGATCCTTGCACCAAGATGCTTTGGGGAAACTCAGCTGAGATTGTTTATAGAAATTGATGTTTCATTTTTTGGGCAAAAGAAGAAAACCATCCAGACTGTTACCAGTGTAAAGTTAAAAAGTTCTCCATAATGGTTTTAGTGCCAAATGCATGAGTAACTTACACATCCATGAAGGCACCATTAATGCTGAAAGATATACATAAGTGGAGAGCAACCTTATGCTGCCTTCTAGACAACATATTTTTCAGGGACGTCCATGCTTACTTCATCATGACAATTTTACAAGAGCATGGCTGCATAATCAGAGAATGTGGTTGCTAGACTGATCTGCCTGCAGTCTAGACCTTTTGGTTGGTGTTTTTATTCCCCAAAGGAAAATGATGTAACACAGAGATAAACATACTCCAGTCCTAACTTTTTTGGAGAGTTGCAATCATCAAATTTGGAGTGAGCATTAAAAAACCTTGAAAATTTAGGTTTGTATGTTTTCAGCAGTTTATATTGGATATTGTGTAAGACCATCTTAGAGAATGTAGAATATTGAACAGTTGGGAGTAGGCAGTATGTGGGTTGAAAGCTCCTTTTGGCTTCCTCAATTGGAAAAAAGAAAAATCTATCCCGATGTTTGAGATGACTCGTTAAAGCATATTTGTCTTTTCAGTGCTCTGAGGTCTAAACTCTATGGCCATTGCACCATGTTATATGTATATTATATATATTATTTAAAAGTGGTCTCAGAGTGAGAGCCCTTGTATTATCAGCTTTAAGAAGGTAATGATGTTCAGATTTGGTTTGGAGGTTTTAAAGGAATTCTGTTTAAACCTTTTTAGCATCTGAGGCTTCTTCAGTGTCTGCTTGTGCCTAACAGCTGACTTGACTAAGAACCACTGTTGTTACATTATTCTCCTGTCTGAAATATACAGTCAGCATTTTGGGTTATTTTTCTGGATATAATACTGGCTGTAACTGATGCATCTGTTTGTTTTCTTTCAAAGTCTGTTAGATGTGTTATATTGCAATATAGTCTCAACAACTAAAATGTTGCATATTCTATGAATGTAATTGAAAGACCGAAACGTGTTGATGTAATGTGCTGGGTTGGTGTATTTCATTTATATGGAAATTATGTATTTGAATCAAGCAAATTCAGTGCATTAGCTTCAACAGACTACAACTTGGAGAGGCTGTTGATAGTTATACTGCCATGTCTACAGATCACTCCACCCTAGAGGCCATTTTACTCTGTCCCTCGCTCACTCTATCGCGGCTGCTAATTTTCTCACACTCATCTCTTTCTCTTTCTTTCTGCCTCATTTTGTGTCCCTCATGTGGTCTGCATCTGCATCATCAGCTCTCACTCTCTCTCTCTGATGTCTCAGTGCATGTGGAGGTAAGAACAGGGGAAATGGAGATGTCACCCTCTGAAGAGACAGAATGCCTGAGGCCTGTCAGGCGTGTGAAATGCATATTCAACCATTTAGCTTTTAAAGAGCGCCGGCAGTTTGAAAATGTCAAAATATGAAAGAAATGAGTTTTCAGAAGTGGAGTGTGGAGGCTGGAGTTTAGTCTCAGTGCCTTTTGTGTGGGTTTAGTTGCAGTACAGCCAGTAAAACAGCATAAACATACTCTTACACACACATTACCCACACTCACACACACACGTATATATGCTCTCCTTGGACAAGCAGACAAAGGGAATGCCGAATGTTTTGAAATATATCTGGTCTGTGTGTGTGTGGGGAAAGTGTGGATTTCAGAGGAGAGGAGTGGTTCTGAGTGAAAAAACAACAGATGGATGGTGGAAGCTGACTCTTTCATCTGCATTTCCATTATTCCTCCTCTGTTTCTATGACAATCTTAAATGATTTATCTGAAGCAAACAAATGTGGTGAAACACTTTTTATGAAATCGTTGCTATTCGTGCTTATAAACGCGCCATCTGCACCAAAACACTGACCTTCAAATTTGTCTGAAAGCTACACTGCAGAAAAAAGTGTCCAGCCTATGTAAAACAAATGTAAAGCATCAGTTTGCATGATCTTTTTACATTTGTTTTAATTGCTCACAGCTCATCATATCTGTTGTCAGGCTCATTGCACTTAGTTAATTCCATTCAAGCTTGTTGCTACATTAGCCTCTTAGCTTCAACATGTTTTGTCTGACTGACTACATTTGGAGCCAGGGGAAAACAGTATAACTTAGATATGTAGCCAAACTATTCCTTTAAAATCGAAACCGGATTTATTATACCACAACACTGTTATATGAGGATTGCTTTTGGTGTTATTTGATGCTTATTAACTTTACCCTACTTTTTTGCAGAGTAAAGTGCTATTCAGACAGGATTAGTTTTACTTGGGGAGGTGGGAGTTCTCAGTGATTTTAGTCCCATCCAAATCCATCATTTTTACAGATTGCAAGTAAAGATTTCACTGGCTTTTATCATCTATAAAATGAATCATTGAAAAAAAACAGGTTATTTTAATTGTATGTGAATCATTAGTAAATATTACATCATATCCTGTGGAAAAAGAGGTTTTTCAGCGTTGCCAGCTCTTACGGTTTTGGCATGAGAATGATGATTTTGGGTCTTTTCTCGAGCTCTAACGCTGTGCAAAGAAATCTCATGGCAGGGAATTGCCAACCAACCTACACACTCAGAACAAACGTGCAAGCAACTATTTTTATTCTTTCTGAATGATGACATTTCTGATTGGGTCATATTGTAGACTGTTGAGAAGATGTTGGCTGTCTCCCACGGCTCAACTTTTTGGGTCACTAGCACGGAAGTGAGTGAGACTGTGTGGGATGATATGATTTTGTGGAACGGCTTTAGAAAACTGAAGTATTGGGGTTCTCTCTCACTCCAACATCACTCTGATAATGCATCATCCCACAGGTGTACAAGTGCAAGAGTTGATTGGTTTAACTTTCTCTCTTCTGCCACCAACTCTAAAATACATTACTCTCCTTCTAAAAATATCTCCTTTTTGAAAGACTTTAAGACTTCAAGACGTTTTTCATCATTTACAAGTTGCAAAACACATGTTTATTGTGATCTGACAAACAAAAAACTTTATTCACTGCTCTTAAACGTTCATACTATCGTGGGGAAAAGGTTACAGAGCTGTACTTTTCCACCTTGTGCCGAGAAATGCGAAGGGTTGCCACCTCAGCCCAGTAAAAAAAGATTTTTTTGCTAAATTCAGTGGATGGGTGGCTTTGCTCATGATGCTATCTAAGCTAGATAGGATGTTCAGCTACAGAACCTAATCTTCTCTGCGCTGTGCAGTGCTGTATTGTGCCTAAACGTGTCACCAGCTGTGCACTTTTCCAAAACACGTCCCTGCATTGAAGGTAATCTGAACCAATCAAACCCATTCTTTGTATACAAATGGTTTGACAGAACAAAAGAACAGGTTTAAGTGCAGTTTATGTTAGAATATTTTGTGTCCACAAATGGAATTCCTATTTCCCAAGACAGACAATTGACGATTCAGATGATTCAGGAAAATCCTTGACAGGTGGAAAACCTAGATATGTGGTTTAGATTTATTGAATGCACTGATCTTGATATGCATAACCTATGACTGTATGCTATTTTTATCAAATCATGTCTTTGTATAAACATTGTGAATATGAAAATATATAGTACATATTTTTGTTTTCTTATACACACACCATCTAAAACGCTTATCCTTCTGGGTCACGGTGGGGTGCTGGAGCCTATCCCAGCTGTCATTGAGCGGAAGGCAGGATACACCCTGGACAGGTCGCCAGTCCATCACAGGGCAGACAGACAGACATACACATTCACACCTAGGGGCAATTTAGCATGTCCAGTTGGGCTGACTGCATTTCTTTGGACTGTGGGAGGAAACCCACACAGACACAGGGAGAACATGCAAACCCCACACAGAAAGGACCCTGGTTGCCTGGCCGGGAATTGAACCCAGGCCATTCTTGCTGTGAGGCGACAGCGCTACCCACCGCACATTTGATGAGTGGTTTGCAACTTTGTGCACTGGAGTAGTTACCACTGTATGCAGCTCACATTGCACACTTTTAGTGATAATGTGATCACTGCTTTATGAGGCGCTTGGGAGCAGTTAAGCTTGCCGCTTGTGCATAGCAACATGCTAATGACTATGAGCTGGGGTTCAAATTGTGTTTTAAAAGGTCTAAAATGTCACTCCAGTCTCACTCCAATGACCTGAATCTCTCACTTTAGTCTCACTTCAGTCATCTGAAAATCTCACTCTAATTACTTGAAAATCTCACTCTTGTCTCACTCCATTCACCTGAAAATCTAACTCCGGCCCCTGACAATCTTGCTCTAGTCACCTTAACATCTCACTCTAGTCTCACTTTAGTCACTCGAAAATCTGCCTCTAGTCTCACCTTAGTCACCTGAAAATCTCACTTTAGTCATCTGAAAATCTCACTCTAGTCTCACCACAGTCACTAAAAATCTCACCCTTGTCCCACTATGGTCACTGAAAATCTCACTCTACTCTCACTACAGTCACTTGAAAATCTCACTCTAGTCTAACTCCAGTTACTTGAAAATCTCACTCTACTCTCACTACAGTCACTTGAAAATCTCACTCTAGTCTAACTCCAGTCACTTGAAAATCTTACTCTAGTCTCACTACAGTCACTTGGACATCTCACTGTAGTCTCACTTTAGTCACCTATACATCTCACTCCAGTCACCTGAAACTCTCACTGTAGTCACCTGAAAGTCCCACTGTAGTCTCACTTCAGTCACCTGAAAATCTTATTCCAGTCGTGTCACTAAAGTCGGCAAGCCTGGTTTTTGTGTTTTTTGTTAAGAATAGTTGCTCAAGGAAGCATTTTTCTGTATCCTCTGTTGCTTAAATTAAGCCAGTATTTACTGTATACAACTCTGAACATTAAAACAGTTGTGATATTATATAGCGATGTTGATTGTTGCCTTTAAAGTCCCAAGGTAATGACATTCTTATGATTTTTTGCATTCAAGACATGAAGACAGACATGGGGAAAAAATTATGATCAAATTTAATATTTAGACATATATTCTACTTGTGAGCAGAAAGTATTTTTTGGTGTATTTTAAAGTATTTTATTTAACTTTTTTGGTGTGGGGCAACCTGTAAATCAATTAAGTCTCTATTCTGCAGTTTATACAAAGATTCAGATAACACTTTATTTGAACCCTGCTACATTGACATAACTAGAACCCTGCTTCTCTGACATAACTATGCTATAAACATGGCATGGCAGATGTCACATGCTGTCATGAGTTGTCATGACAGACTATGCGCAGTTATATGTAAGAGTGTCATCAATTAGTGTTATCAGTAATTGTCATGACAGATGCCATAATGTTTGATGTAGTGATGAATAACAAGAGTGCATAGCAAAAAATAGCTTGTGACATAAGCTGTCATGAGATCAAACATTATGGTACTTACTGGTAATAGTAACATGAGATTATTCTATTTCTGAACATAATCTTTCATTGACAACTCATGACAGCATATAACATCTGCCATAACAAGTTTATAGCATTTTTATGTAAATGTTTTGCAGCAGCATTCGAGTAAAATGTTACCAAGAATTCTTATCCCTTGCAAATCATAAACATTATAGATGTCCTGTGCGATGTAAAACTACATTACCCCATTTTTTTCGTGTAAAACTAATCTTGTCAAAATAGTACAAACCCAAATTGCCAAAAAAAGTTGGGACAGTATGTGAAGTGCTAAAAGAAACAGAAATTGTTTTTTGTCAATATATGCTTATAAACTAATCCAGTTTTGAAAGAATTTCTGTTATACAAGAGTTCACCCATGGAATCATAGAAGTTTTTTTGCTTATATTTTGCACCGTAGAGGGTCAAATACCTAAAATCATTGCAGTCGCTTGCTGAGGAACTTATTATTATTATTAGTGATTATTTTTAAACTGTTGTAATTTTTGCTGATGCATTTTTGGCAAAGTGACGAGCTTTGACAATACTTGTTTATAAAGGACTCTGCCTTTCCTGGATGCTCCACCCAAGCATGATTTGTATGTCCTGCTTAGGCTGTGTCTTGAGCACTTCATAATGTTCCTAGTCTTAAATTGCCCCTGTCCCAATTGTTTTGGAACAGGTTACAGGCATCAATTTCAGAATGGGTGTACATTTACAAAAAACAATGATAAGGTAAAACAATACATATTGTCATTTTACTGTTTCCATTCAATTCAGGTCAAATTAGATTTATACATCACTGCTTTTTGGTTTTATTTGCACTTGAAACACTTTCCCAACTTCTTTGGAAATGGATTAGTACTTAAGGCTAGAAAGCAGTTATCTTTGAAGAGTTGTTAATGTATTCATTGAATTTGTGTATGTTTGTACGTGTGTGTAGGATAAAGAGGAACAGTGGATGACTAAGCTGGTTCCTGGCATGAATGACTTTGTGCTGCTGCAGCCTCTCCAGTGGAACACACAGTATGAAGTGGAGATCACCGCCCGCAATGTCAAAGGCCTGTCTGAGCCCACCTTTGTCAAATTCTCCATGCCACAGAAACCAGATATCACAGGTACATGCACCTCCGCAGTACATGGTGCTCGAAAAAAGCACATACAGATCATCTTCTATTCAGTGTTTCTCTAGCTGAAGAACTCAAGGACAGTAGCAAGGTGTCACCTACACTTGGAACATATACCATGGCATTCCTACACACAGGCAACCAGCCAACTCGCATTCTAATTGCATGCAAGGTTGTACCTCAATGTACTTTCCACCCACTGTTAATTCTAGCTTGTACTTAGGCAGACATGGTAGGCATCCACTTCATCACCCTCAAACATGCAGCCCACAGTCGCTTTGTTGGCACTACATAATGACCCTTAAATGCTTTAAAAGTTTGTCATTTAGTCTCAAGAGCTCATCCTTTGCAATCATAATAAAATCGACAGCAATGCTCACCCAATCAGAAGATCTGAATAACTAACGGCTGACTCGCCGTGGCCTTGCTATTGGCCAGGTATGAAGCAGATCACTGAGATTGAGTGGAAAATGTCAGCAGCACTGGAAAATGTTCTACAGGCTTGTTCGCTCTTGACGTTAATACAGAGGTTTGTGCCTTTTTTTAGAAAGACAAGTAAACAAGTGAGGGTTAAAAGCTTGGCTAAAGGACCTTTAGATCTTTGGACCTTGTATTTTGTTGCCACTCCAAAATTATACCCAAATTATATCCACATTCAGCATTTAATCTAATGTACATTATTGTGCAAAAGTCAACCTTCATGTATTTAATTTGCAGCCAAAATTGCTGTTATATACAAGTCTTTCCTTTTTTTGCATGAGGAAAAAGGCAGAAAACTTATATTTAACAAGAAATTACACAGAGGCCTCAACAATATACTATACATTTTTTTCTGCTTGTCAACTCTTTGCCTTTATTACAGCTTCAACTATCTTTGTAGGACTTGCTTTCAGTTTTTCAAAGAAATCTGCAGGGATGCTTTTCCACACCTTCAAAGTTCAGTCGTAGAAGTTGTTTGCATTCAGTCTCACCATCCAGGTCATACCAAATACATTCAATGATGCTAAGGTCTGGACTCTGGGATGGTCAGCCCTTTGTTCTGAAAACACCAGCTGCTTCTTTGTTTGATTTGTAGTTCATCTTTCATCTTTTAGGACTCATAATGTTGAGTTGTCTTCTTGCAGTGGAAGGATGGACAGAAGCACCTGTGGATTTTTCTTTCTCAAAGAAAGTTTGAAGTACTGTTTATCTGATGGTGAAAGTTTTGGTGGTCTTCCACCATGGCTGCTAGGAGTTTCTCTCTATCTTTTAATACTTCTGAACTCCAGTTTTAGAACCTTTTTTCACTTATTCTCCTTTGATTTTTACCTTTCTTATGCAAGTGGATTGCCTCATATCCAATCTACTCAGAAATATCTCTGAAAAATGAGTATCTTGAACTTAATAACTGTTTTGACTGAAAATAAAATAAATGAAGGGTCAACTTTTGCACAGTACTGTACTCAAGATCTCTTAGCTGAAATTATCATTAGATGGCCCTGAAGCTCCCTGTGTTATTTCCACGATCAGTGTTTTTGTGAGAAAAGAACTGCACAAGACAAAAGGGAGAAATAAAGGAGCTAAAGCCTTTCTCCTTCCTGTGATGACTGCTGTTGCCTGGCGACTCTAATGAAAGGCATTTAGGATCATTACTAAAAATGTAATGTTGTTCCACTCCACTGAAACCGGTTGGCTCATAGGCCAGGAGGGCAGACTGAGCATCTTAATATAGTCAGTCAAAATGCACCACCTGCTAGGCAGAGCAGCTGATATTGAGAAGCATCCTAATCAGAAACAATGAATTGTGATACGCATAGCTGAAAGTCAGCGAGAATGTGTTTATGCATTTTTGTGTGTGTATGTGGGTTGATTTCCATTGTTAATGGAGTATATTTTCTCCTACCTCCTCTTCTTTCTCTCCCTCCCAACCTCCATCCCTCCATCCCTGCCTCCGCATGCTCTTATTTATAATTCTATTGTGCTTGTGTCTGTGCTGGTTCACTCTAAACAATCCTGCCCTCCTATTCCCACCTAATGCATAATGTAACGCTTTTGGGGCCACATCACAAAAAATCACTGGGCTCCTTGTTTTGCAATAAACTGCCACTAAACCCTGTTTTCCTTACTCCCATAATCACTTTGTTTAAAAATTAAATTAATAATAAACCCACTTGCTCATTGCACTAATTCCAAACCTGTTAAAACTGGATATCGGATTGTTTTGCTACTATCATTACCATGTTTTTACTCTGCATTTTGCTGAAATCATTCTAAATTTTGTCTCGCGTTTCTCGTCTAACTTTGAATAATGTGTGTCATTTACATTTGTGCATTCCTTGTTTTCCATTCCTCCACTGTTCTGTCACCATCCTCCATGCATGTTTAATCGTTCCTGCCATGATCCTTCTATAATCTCTCATCTTGGGCTGGCATCTGCTTACTCGTTCCTCCTCCCCCTCACACTCCCCCTCCACCACTCCATTGCAGATCAGTGTTGTGAACCCCCTGCAACTGGACATGGACACCCCCCCCTGCACCCTGCCCGAGCCGTGGCATTCATCGGAGCTACACTCTCACTCGCCTTGCATTTGTGTGTGTGTTGATGTCACTCCATCACTCCACCTTGCCTGGGAACAGGCCCAAAGACTAAAACAGGGACTTTATACCTGCCCCCCTTCACCCTACCAATGAGCTTCGCCCCCAAGGGCAGCTTACTGACTCTTAGCTATGTCAGCTCATTGCACCTGTCAGTCTCCAGCAGATTTCCCCCTTAGTCCCTGATAGCACTGACTGACCTGTACTGCCTCAGAGCCAAATGCTCTTCCTTCACCACCTCCTACACCTGGAACCTTCAGAATAAAGGTGAAGGGTTTGTGGGGCGATGCCATAAAAGAATGAGCTTTATGGATGGTTCTTTAATGGGATACATCAGTGTGTCTGATACATATATCAAATGGTCGCATAATTGCTGACCAAAATGTAGATGCGTTTACCTGTAATTTTTAAAAGAACAGAAAACATATTGACTCAAAACATATGCAAAGCTACCAAGCTGGGAAGGTGAAAGATAGTACATGCTCCCTCTGAGACACATTAAAGCTAGAAGTATACTTCAAATGAAAATGACATTTTAAAGCAAAGTGGCATCTTTTTGGCCAGAATGATGGAGTGCTTTGAGTTTGCAAGGTAAGGTGTGTGCTGTTTGCTGAACATAACTCTTAATCAGTGTGTCGTTTGATCTGAAACCTGCCCTGAGTAGTATATTAACAACAGCATGTTCAGCAGTAGATCAGTTTCATTTAGTTCTTTTGTTGTTTGAAGTATACTACCAGCTTAAGCCAGCCAGCGCCCCACATCTTTGGACAGCTCAGTGTGCTTGGAGTGGAACGCTAATTGCCAGTTCTGTTAACAAATGCCCATATTTTGTAGCACTGCACTCAGTGTTGCAATGGCGGTGGGAACACTGGATATCAAACTCATGATCTCCTAATAAGAAGGCCTACGTTTGGATGGTTATGCCACTCAGGAGCAATTATAAGTCAGCAGGTTGTCTGTTCTATTACTAAGAAGTAATGTAAGCAACTGTATTAGAATATTTGTTTGAAAGAATATTCCACTCACAGGTTCTTGAGGGAACAAAAAATAGTTCTTTTATGGCAAGGCAGCTCAATCCTGGTCCTGGAGATCTTCCTCCCTGGACAGTTTAGATCCAGCACAACCGGCTCTAACATTCTCCTGAAGGCCTTCATTAGCCATGTCTCGAAGCCAAGGATGCCACCAAAGAAGGCTGTATTTCTCACCCAATATGTCTCTGAAAGCTGTTCTGTTTTGTAGGATCTTTCAAATGCAGCCAAGAGATGCATGCTTCATTTCAGAGAAATCGACAGGCGCAGCCAGTATATTCTTCCAAACTTTCAGTCACCCACAATCCTTCACACGCGAAGCAAAACTGTTTGAGAGAAGCGGAAAGAGCCGCGAATGGCGAGATGCTGTGGCACAAGACTATTAAATGTTTTTAAGACTTAGACATGTCATAGTGCTTTAAGTCATTAAGACATGATGTGTCTGTACAGTCTGCTGAGACCACTGGGAATGTGTGAACCAGTACTGAAGTGAAGAGGAGCTTTGGATAGCAGTACTAAGAAGGTCTCTGCAGCCTAGTATCTGGATCAGGTGTGTTAGATTAGGGTTGGAGCTAAACTCTGCAGGGTGGTTGATCTATGAGACCAGGATTGGGCACCCCTGTTCTGTGGCATCGCTCCAAAAAAACACTTTAGCACCTTTATTTTCAAGAGTGCAGCAAATGATCTCCCATTGCACTGAAAAGGCCCAAATCATAACCATTTTGTCTGTAAATGCAGTATTACCTCTAGCCTCAGGCTACAAATGCAGTGTTAAATTTGTGATGAACTCTTGTGCTAATGTGCATCTAACCCTGCGCGCACACACACACACACACACACACACACAGCTACGGATTTGAGGACTTTGGCACTACCTGATGTCCCACCACTGCTGTTTGTGCACATCGACTTAGTTTGTTTATTGTTTTTTCATGGCTGTGGAAAATGCCAGCAGTTGTACCGCTTGAGTGAGTGCATTTAATGATGTTGCAGATTCACGCACACACACACAGATACAGCACAGCTCTCATTAAGCAGAGTCAAGTAGGATTTCAAGTACATCTGACTTTTACGCACTGGTCTCATAAATCACACAGGGCCTTTTTCTTTCTGCCCTTAATAAGTTTTACATTAACCAGGGTCTTTCCTTTTCATAATATCAAAATGTAATGGTGTACAAATTGGTTTTCATTCTTTGTGCATAGCATTAGCTGGGGGACAGACGGTGTTCTGTGCTGATGAGAAATACGAGGAGCACTGGAATTACCCACTTTCCATGGATGAGAACATTTGTCTGCATTTACCTTAATCAAGTGCGTCTCTGAATAGAGGTTATAATGGTGTAAGAACAGGAGGATAAGCTAACCATCATTTCTTAGCCATATTACA